GTAATGAGAACAATTGAAGAACAAGTAATACAGTAATACAAAGCACATATACTAGATTCAGTTTATTCACTTTCATTGACGCTGTTACACTGTAGGAGCTCGTGTCAAAACTGTAGGAGTTCGTGTCAGCCATCTGAAATAAAAAATTATATTATATAAGTGTGACAAGACTTTTGGATCACCCTGTATAGCGATATATACAAATTAATTGTCTCCAGAAAATATTGTAATTTTGGCATGATATAAGACACATGATTACTTTTTTTAATAATGTTCACCCAAAACGAGCCTCAAGAGAAATTCAAGATACACGGTTACTAAATAAGGTGTGTAATATGAATGTAAGACGAGGAAGTGAGAATGATGAGGATATAGAGCAGAGGTGGCCAAATAGAATAATGTTCAGATGTTTGCGAGCCACACTCTCTCTCTCGGTGCATCCAAATCTTTAATTTCCTTTCCTCATGATCTCAGTCTTCTGACATTCTTCTGTAACTCTTGCTGACCGGAAATTTCTTTAATCCTTCCACCATCCCCTCCCTCAGCACTAAAGAACAATGCCTCACACAGATGTAACATTAAATTTAGGATTTAAATTCTTAAATATTTTTGCTAACCATGAACATTAAAATTTCGTTTTAATCCATTGGCTTCTCAATTCATACCCAGTAAATAATTATAAAGATTGAAATTTTTCTTATTTACCTTTTATATTAACTGTGATGAAAAAAGGACTCAGCCAACATATTTCCACGAGCCAGATATTAAATGTGAAAGAGCTACATGTGGCTCGCGAGCTGCGGTTTGGCTACAAGGAAGCATTCTTTCGATGACGCTTTTTTGCGTAAAAATTAACTTTATAGTTAAAAATCTATATGTCGGTAATTTTCTAATTATGCACAGATCCCGACATATGAATACCATAGGAAGACAAATCCAACAATGTCTCAATAAAATACACAAATGGGCCACTGAAAATGGGTTTATTTTTTCTAAAACGAAAACTAAATGCCTACAAATCAAGAAAATTGCATAACGATAAAAAAAATTTTGCACAACGATAAAAAATCTTTTGCACAACGATAAAAAAAAATTTTGATAAAAAATTTAACGTTTATTTCCCATCTAAAATCTTTGAAAACAAAATGTAGCAAAGCCCTACAACGTCTGCATGCAGTGGCCCATACTGAATGAGATGCAAATCGACTAACATTAACCAAATTATACAGATCACTACTTCGCTCAAGAATGGATTACACTAGTTTCATATATGGGGCGACCAAAAAGTTGTACCTAAAAATTCTCTATACAACCTATCATCAAGTCCTCGGGTTAGTACTCGAGGCTTTCAGAACATCCCCAGTGGAGAGCTTATACACAGAAGCTAATGAAAGACCTCCACATTTACGGCGCACTAAACTGGAACTACAGTACTATGTAAAAATAAAATCATGCCCAACTAACGCAGCTTACAACAGTACCTTTGAACCGAATTACTGCGATCTACTCCGACAGAAAGATAATGGTATACAATCCTACGGACTCAGGATGAAATCCATTGCTGAAGAGTTAAGCACCACACTCTCAAATATACAAGAAAAGACTGCAGCCAGTATTCCACCATGGACTATCAAGCAACCAGAAGTTTTGCTAGAATTACATAATCCCCCAAACAAAAAACGTACCCACTCACATTCCAGGATAAGCTTCAGATCATGTTGGCAAACTTCCCTAACCATACACTATACAGGCGGGTCAACATGTGAGGACAGAATAGGATGTGCATCAGTCAGCCAAAACATTACCAAAAATGGGTGCCTCCCAAAAGGAAGCTCTATTTTCACTGCAGAGTTTTATGCAATTGAGCAAGCTCTCAACATTATCTCAGAGGGCAAACCATCATTTTTTTTTTCAAAATTTTTGGACTCACTATCCGTTCTATCGGCTTTGAAAGTAAAAAATCCGATAACCCACTTATGAAAATAATATACAAAATGAGCACACTATTAACAAGCATAAAGACATCAAACTATGCTAGATTCCTAGCGACATCGCTAATAAGCAGATCTAGCAGCCAAGCCGTCTTTAGATGTGAATGTGGATACAAGAACCAAAATCCCATACACAGATTTTAAGGAGTTTATTTAAAAAGAAATAGCAACGATACTGGGGCGATAACCCACTCAATAAACTCTTTGCAATTTAGCCCAAACTAGAATGGAAGTCAGCTCCCAGAAAATCTCATAAAGAAAAAGTGGTACTGTCCCGCGTACGCATTGGACATACGAGAATAACCCACTCGTACTCACTAAACAAAGAAGATCAACCAGTACGCCAAGCATGTAAAACGGGGTGTACTATGAAATATATATTAAACAAGTGCTCTGATCTTGGTTCTCTCAAGACAAAAATCCTATAAAATAAACAACATGTATGAGCTGTTTGAGAAAGTAAAAGTGGATGATATAATATTATTTCTCAGAACAGTAGGACTCTACCAAAATCAATATCAATGAAATCGGATTATAAACCAAATGAGAATATCAAAATCAATTTCTCCACAAACCGTGAATACGTCAATGAAAGTAGACTCTCGACGACAACACCTTTTACAAAACTATATCAATGAAATCGGATCTACAGAATGTTTCCTTATAAAGAATATATATTCTATTCATACGAATCTATTGTAAACATCTTGTCAGCATTAAATAATGAATTGAGGTTGATATACCGTAAAAGAAAACAAACCAAAACATAAATTATAACACGAGTATTTTTGCAGGTTTTATAATTATCAAAATAAGCTCATTTCCAGAGGTCCATCCACACATACATTATTTCCCCTCGGAAAGGGCCTAGTTATTACATGGTACCTGTGGCTTTTTGTAAAGGTAAAATACCGAGAGGACTGGGGCAGTTTTTCTCCTTAGACAATGTACGCGTCGACTTATTTGATATGACATTTTTGCAAAATATTTGCAAAGAAACACGCGCACCAACTTGACAGACAGACAGCTTCTTGTATTTAACTAATTTTCAGCGCCCCTTTCGTAGAAGGTCAGAAAAGTAAAGAAAAATAAAAAGGAAACTAGCTGAAAAGTCACTATCCTAGAGACATCCGACTATTTGTAAAAGTAGCAGAACAAAGATGTTAATTACTTGTTTATATTTGCTCATTTAAATTCTCCTTAATTAAGTTCCTCTTCTATACCTGATACTGGTTTGTGGCATTTTTACTATTATGTCGACTAAAACATGTAGCAGTTTAAATGACGTATAAGTATTTATTTTAAAACATTTTTAAATTAATTTAAATATATTATAAGAATTTATTTTTAAAACAAAAATTGTATACAATAACTATTTATTCTTATCAAAAAGATATAACTTTATTTAAAAGATGTGCTTGAAAAATTAAAATAAATATTCCACACTTTATCATCAATAAAATAAAAGGATTTATTTTAAAAATGTGTTTTAAAAATTAAAATAAAAACATTTCATTTGGAAGATCTTTTTTTTTCAAATAGAACAACACGTAATGATGAAAGAGGGATTGGAAAATCTGTTACTCAGAGGGAGAGATAAAAACAACACATAATTTAGTGAGTTTGAGTAAATGGATGGCGGAACAATGATTAGAAGAGATAATAAAAAAAAAAAAATAATAATTAAGATCTACAAAGGACTGTAAATTGTGGAGTCATTCTTGCCTACTTCCGGAAGGAACACGGCACATAGATGACAAAATAGCTCACCTTGTTCTATACTTAGTGAATCACTAAGAATTGAAAAGATATGGGCGCGAAATATTTGCACCAAAAACTAACGATGAAAATTTGTTTGCTTTCATTTCCTTTTGATACAAATCGGTACAAAATGAAGATCAAAAGCAAGTGGATGAAAACAAAAAGTCTAAAGTAAATAGAGTCTGTGATATAGTATTAAAAACAAAAAGATGTAGACAATATTTCGAAAACTGCATGGGTTAATGAAAATATTTAATCTCAGAACTTCAAACAAAACTAGGAAGACTGAATAATATATCGATATAGCATAATGTCTTTGATATTTTTTATTTTATTCACTGGGTACATTTTTCAATTTTGGATAGAGCTCTGGCGAGTGACGAATAAAAACCGGTTATTGTTTTTTAAGATTTACCTATTAACTAGAAAATTGTTGTTATTTTTTTCTGTTTGTTTATATGTCCATTTTTATTGCAATTATTAGGAAAATTAATAACAAAGTGGAAAAAACTGTGTTATGTGTTTCATCCTTTACGTCTTCATCGGACTAAAGTAATGTTTACACTTATGTAACATACACATCCGCATGAAGGGGACCGGGACACAGATATTTTAAAGTTCTATTATTTTTTTTTTTTTTAGATATGTCTAGGTAGATAGTCTAGTTTCTTTTTGTTTAAGTTTTTATCAATTTTCTTATTAAATATTCTACATTTTTATAATAGATCTGCCAAGAAAGGTGAAATGTTGTAAGAAGCTGGATGATCTTGCATTTAAAGCGCTTTCTATAAACTTTATTCTTAGTAAATTGCTTTATTTTAATTAGAGTAGCATTTTTTTAAATTGGAATTATGATCAGACTCATTACGGCGACTAACATTGTCCTGGTATATAAAAATTATATCATTTTTCATACATTGCAATTATTAAAAAATCCTATAGTTAAGCGTGACAGAGGACAGTCATTAGACGATATATCTGTATTAATCCTGACTGTTTAAATTAACTCATCTTTCTGGAGACTGTACACTCGAACAAACAGTCAGTTAAATAGTAATTTCTGACTCAAATATTGTTGGCTAACCTGTTGAACGTTCGTTAGCAGCGACGTCGCAAAACAAAGCCGTTGTCCTTCGCAGTGCCACTCTCGGAAACGTTGCTTGTCATAAAAAAAAGATTCCTATTCTGATAAATAAAACAGAAATAATTGGAAAGGAATTACGTTGCACGTTAAAACAGGACGATAAAATGCGCTTCGTGTATCTTCTTGCGGGTTTAAGTCTCTTGCTCTGGCTAAATGTAACTAAATGGATTGGCAGAGGACATTTATTTCTACCTGAAGGTTAGTAAGCTATTTTGTATATTTTCCCATCCAGTCGTTCCGAGCCATTCCTAATTACCACTTTCATCTTACTTTCTATTATTCGGAATTTAACTATTTTATTTGTTCTTTTATTTTATGAAGTATCATCCTCCTTATCTGTATTTGTTCATAGATCGGTATTTGTTTTACAATCTATTATTTTCATGTGTATTTGTTTTACAATCTATTATTTTCATGTGTATTTGCTTTACAATCTATTATTTTCATGTGTATTTGCTTTACAATCTATTATTTTCATGTGTATTTGTTTTACAATCTATTATTTTCATGTGTATTTGCTTTACAATCTATTATTTTCATGTGTATTTGCTTTACAATCTATTATTTTCATGTGTATTTGCTTTACGATCTATTATCTTAATCTGTATTTATTTACGATCTATTATCTTCATATTTATTTGTTTTACGATCTATTATCTTCATCGGTATTTATTTTATGAACCATAATCTTCATCTGTATTTGTTTTACGATCTATTATCTTCATCGGTATTTATTTTATGAACCATAATCTTCATCTGTATTTGTTTTACGATCTATTATCTTCATCGGTATTTATTTTATGAACCATAATCTTCATCTGTATTTGTTTTATGATCTGCTTTCTTCATCTGTACTTATTTTACAATCTATTAATTGTCTTCCTCATAGTAGTCACAGCATATTTATCACCAATGATGCAGAAAATGGAGTTATACTCAAGAAAGGTTATTCAGAATTGTTGAATTATCTCCTATTTGATCTTCCGTACACAAAGTAATCTAACAGTGGTAAATCGAAAAATATTATAAACATTTAAAGATATATTTTTGAGGTGAAATTGGTATTAAAATTTTTCCAACACATCTTTTTTTAACAAAATATTTCTTGTCAAAAGTAACCAGTAAAATTTCACAATTACACTGAAATATTAAAATAGTAAAATTTAAAAAAAATAACTGAACATTGTAAATTTTTTTCTCTGTTTAATCTGAAAGAAAATAACATGTTTTGTTTATTGTGCAAGCACCAACTCTGCACATTCTTTTCAGTTTTATTGAATTATTTTTTAAGTTTTCAGGAAAAATTTTCGATATGTTCTGATATGATATCACATAATTTTGTTACTGAAATAACATCTTCAGGTTCTTTTTATAAAACGATAAAAATATTAATTATCACCCCACTCCCGCCATTTTTTAAAAAGGCTTTGCTATGTACCGAAATGGAGACGTAACTGACAAAAATATTTCCACAAAGTTTTCTAATAAAATAACCTATTCCGTATAAAATTATACACACACACACACACACACACACACACACACACACACACACACACACACACACACACACATATATATATATATATATATGAAGAATATAGTCTTAAGATGTGGTATATTTATGAAATAAAGTGCTCAATATCAGAGATAGAGTGTGTCTAAATATAAAAGTGAACATAGAAGTCAACACTTAGAGGCGACAGTCTGTTTCATGCTAGATGCAATCGTCAAGCGACGAGTGCTGTTATTTTTCTTGGTTATTTATATATACGGGTCAGTGGTGCATTGTGGGTAGTCTATTTTGGTGGTTATTTTACCAGAATTCTTTATTTATTTATTTGGGTTAAATTATTTTGCTAGTTTTTATTTTTATTTTTTTTTTTTATTTCTTATCTTATATATTTATTTATTTTTATTTTAATCGGTGTTTTTATTAACGTAGTAAAAATTTGTTTATGTACTGAACACTTTCACCCATAAATATAGGCTAACTTTAGGTATATTTTATCATATATATATATATATATATATATATATATATATATATATATATATATATATATATATATATATATATATATATATATAAAGTTTTAAATATAAATTAACATATATACCACACTTACTTATGTTTCATCCAGAAATAAGGATAATTAAGCTGGGATAATATATATTTATTTATTTTAGTCGCTGCCTTAAATGCGATTTATATACGATGTTCTAATATCATGATATATGATATTCTAATATTATGATATAAAAGGGAGGGGTTAAATTACAGGTCTTTCCACTATGATATATTCGTTCCACAGAAGAGAAAGTACCGAGAGGACTGGAGCAGTTTCTCCTTAGCCAATGTATGCGTCGACTTCCAGTTTAAACTCGGTCCTGTGTCATATTCCGTTCGAATGGATGCGCGAATAGATCCCATCATTTATTTGATATGACACGTTTGCAAAATATTTGCAAAGACACGCGCACAAACTTGACAGACAACTTCTTGTATTTAACTAATTTTTAGCTCCTCTTTCGTAGAAGGTCAGAAAAATAACGAAAAATAAAAAGGAAACTAGTTGAAAGGTCACTATCCTAGAGACATCCGACTATTTGTAAAAGTAGCAGAACAAAGATGTTAATTACTTGTTTATATTTGCTCATTTAAATTCTCCTTAATTAAGTTCCTCTTCTATACCTGATACTGGTTTGTGGCATTTTTACTATTATGTCGACTAAAATATGTAGTAATTTAAATGTTGTATAAGTATTTATTTTAAAACATTTTTAAATTAATTTAAATATATTATAAGAATTTATTTTTAAAACGAAATTGTATAAAATAACTATTTATTCTTATCAAAAAGATATAACTTTATTTAAAAAATATAAGATGTGCTTGAAAAATTAAAATAAATATTCCACACTTTATCATCAATAAAATAAAAGGATTTATTTTAAAAATGTGTTTTTAAAATTAAAATAAATAATTTGGAAGATCTTTTTTTTCAAATAGAACAACACGTAATGATGAAAGAGGGATTGGAAAATTTGTTACTCAGAGGGAGAGAGAAAACAACTTCGCCCCTGTAAAAAAAGGTTCAAAAAGTATAGAAAAATAAGAAGGAAACTAGTTGAAAGTTAATCATCCAAGGGACCACGACTGTCTGTAAAAGTGGCACAATAAAATGTGTTTGATTTAATCTAATCGTTCCTTTCAAATCGTGAAATTAAGGTCGTTTTGAATAGGATCGCTTCCAGATCTTTCCACGCGAACACGAGTGTCCCCTAAGGCTCTGTCCTGGGTCTTACGGCGTTTCTGATCTTCTTATCAGTTCCCAAGTTGGTATTTATACAGATGACACTACCATTTACAATTCGTCGAAGTTGACAAAGTCAACCTGGCTGCCGCTCTTGAAAAAGACCTCCAATCAGTGGTTAAGTGGGGCAGGATATGGCTAGTAAATTTTAATGCCTACAAAACGAAACTTAATCACCGTAGAGAAATTTTTCTACCCACCTTCAGCATGGCTGATGCTAGATTCAGGAAGTGCAGCACATTGCGCCTTCTTAGCTTCATGTTCTCAACTGACTTGAAGTGGAACGCCTACATCGTATCAATAGCTGCATCTACTGCAAGGGAATTTGGGTCACTGTGTCGTGCAAGAAGGTTTTTCTCGTCAGAGTCAATCTTGCACATTTACAAATCTACAATTCGTCTGTGCATTGAATACTGACGCCATATCTGGTCAAGTGCTCTTGCAACTCATCTCGAGATTCGTGTCAAAACCCAAAGAAGGATCTGCAATGTAATCGATCCTGACTTGGCATCTCGGCTTCAGTCACTTTCTTAATTGACATGACGTCTTTTCTACAAATATTTTCCTTTCTACATATATTTTCATGGCTACTATTCTGACAAGCTTTTTCCCTAATGGTCGAACTACGCGTGCTTAAGCGTGCTACTAGATTGGCATCTAGGTCACACACTTTTATTGTTGAAATAATTAAATGTAACCGCCACTTCGATTCCAACAGTTTCTTTTCTCGCACTTCTCACCTGTGAAACTCCTTTCCGTTTCCTTGCTTCTCTGATAACTACAATCTTCAAAAATTTAAATGCAACGTCGACCGACATCTTCTGTCTTCTTGAATCACGTTCAGCTTTTACCCTTTCCCCGGTCTCCTCTATACCCAGTCTTTTCTCTCTCCTTCATTCTCTGTAACCCCCCTACGAACTAGTAGCATTCCTGCTTTGCTTGAGGTAAAATGATATATATATATATATATATATATATATATATATATATATATATATAATTTCTTATATGACTGAATTTAACATTTATTTATTTGGGAATTCTTTTTGTTTTGTGACTATTTTATAAGAAAAGTGAATGAATTTGGCACTAAAATAGGTGATAGACCCAATGTAAAGGTAATGGAACACTGGCTGTCACAATGACGGACAACATGTTTTCTGTTTTACGTACAATGAAAATCTGTTGCTGTCCTCCTGTCTATATGGTCCGAATGCACACACGCACAGCTACCTTTTAAGTTCATTTTATAGACATTGTTGGCGTTTTTTTTATAAAGCAAATGCTGATCAATAATCACGGGGACATGTCGTCTGATGCGTCTCTGGGGGTGGTAGCACAATCCAGTGCCACCTTATTTAACCAATTTGAAAAGTCACGTTCGGATATTGATTGCCCCATCAGTGAGACAAAGAAAACGGAACTGTTTAGAAAAATTCAAAAAGAAAAAGAAAAAAATGAAAGACAAATGTAAACAGGTAAGGATAAAAATGGTGGAATACAATAAATAAATAAAAAGTTGCGTGACAAAGAAAGGACGGTGGTTGTTTAAGTGGAAGTCAGGACGACATTTCTTCTCTGTTGAGCCTTACCTGAATAAATGTCTAAAATGACATCATATCGATCTAAACGAAAGAAATTATCGGTTGTTACGATAAAAAAAATTTAAAGAATCCTAATTTATATACTGAAACCGACAAATTGATGCGTGACGTCATATTGGCGAAATATCTTATCAGCCACTCCACTAGTCATTGGTTTCTCGGCCTTCATCAGCATTTATACATTGTCTTAAAATAAATCGTCTTGTGTATGACGATAAACTACATCTGGAAGCAAGGCTTCTGATCAGAAGATTTTAAAGAGCGACTCTTAATTGTTATTGTTCCCAGGTTCACCCTGACCCGGAGTGGTAGCACCTGTTGAAGTCCCAGCTATAGACAAATAGTTAACCTCCAAACAAAATCAGTAATACATTTTTAAAATAAATTGACCTACAATACATTTTATAATAAAATGGCCGATACATTTTATAGTAAAATCAATAGATTTTATGATATACAAAATATATATCTAAAAGATTACCATCAATAGATTTTATGATATACAAAATATATATCTAAAAGACATACCTTTACCCTGAAAGTAAAATTTTGTACAAAATATCTGTAGTTGAAAGCATAAAATTACGTACAAAATATTTAGATTTCGGCATTAAATAACCCAGATAGATTGATATGCCACTAAACAAAGCCAACCAAAGAACTAACATGAAAGAACTATTTCTTAACATTAATCCATATAATGTCCAACAATTTGTTAAAGAAATCAAACCGCATTCCAAAATATAACTTCTACAAAACTACAACATAAAACTCACATATCACCGCCTCTAGTAATTATGTCTACACAAACATGTATATGCGCAAAAGCTGAGTATCATCTACCATGTATTCAATTGTGAAAGCAGAATAACGTATATCAAATTTTTATTACCTCAAAGCTCTCAAGAAAATTAAATTTCAACATCAAATGACCCATAAGTTGATATACCGTTAAACAAGCAAGTAAATCAATCTTGAAATTAATATCGTTTACTGACAGATTAAGAAGACCAGAACAAATATATTTCTTGCCAGATATCTCGTCGGGAGCTTCAGAACAAACACGACTTTCTCTACCTTCGTCACATCTATGAATTGTCTTTATTTTTATTTTCCAAATATTCACCCAAGTCTCAAGAGCCATTCAAGGTAGAATGCAGGGTGTGACATGAAGAGTGAGAAATAGGAGGTGAGGATTATGATGATAGGGAAGATGGGTAAGAACTGCTTTGAATCATTTGTCGAGTAAGAAGACCTAGAACAAAGAAATGAGATGAAGCATAATTCAATAGCCACTCTATAACAACCATTGCTCTCCTTGTCTTTATCGTCATTTGCAAATTATTTGGAAACATTAATTCCTCGAGAAAATAAGAACATTACAATCTAATTCACTGCCAGAGTAAGAAGACCTAGAAATAAATTTCTTGAACGTTGCTCTATCTTTGCTTTCTTGATCTTTTTCATTGTCTACTGCTTTCTGTCCTTTCATCTCCATCTATGAAGTGTCTTTATTTTTGTTTTACGAATGTTCACCCAAAACGAGACGCAAGCGCCACTCAAGGTAGAAACGTATTGAATGAAGTGCGTGATATGAATGTAATAGTAGGGAGTTGAAGGTGGGGATTATGAAGATAAGGAGCATAATTAACGATTGGTCTGAATCATTAGTCGAGTAATAAGACCTAGAAAAAAGAAATGTGATGAAACATATTTCAACAGCCGCCCTAGGACATTGCTCTCCTTGCCTTTATCACCATTTACAAATTATCTGGAAACACTAATTATCTGAGAGAATAAAAAAATTGTCATGAAGCATATCTCATCAGCTGTTTCCGCAGAATCATTGCTTTAAGAGCCTTCATCTTCAACTATGAATTTTCATGAATCACTATCTGATTCACTGGCAGAGTAAGAAGACCCAAAGCAAAGAAATTTCTTGAAATATACCTCATCAGTGGCTCAAAGACAATTATTGTTTTCTCCGTCTTCATTTTTATCAATAAATTGTCTTGAATCCCTATCTGATTCACTACCAGAGTAAGAAGACCCAGAACAAAGAAATTTCTTTAATATCTGATCAGCTGCTCCAAGACAATCACTGCTCTCTCAGCCTTCATTTTCATCAATGAATTTTCTTGGATCCCTGTCTGATTTACTGCTAGAATAAGAAGACCAGAGCAAAGAAACTTCTTGAAAGATATCTCATCAGTTGCTCCAAGACAATCATTGCCTTTCCTGCCTTCGTCACCATGTACGAAACGTTTTCAATCACTATATGATTCCCATATGATATAAAGAAATTTATCGCGGTCGTCAGAAATTATTACGAGACCATTTTGGCAGTTGAGATATTTCCTACTGGCGCCAATGGTCTGTGTTCAAACCCTGGTAAAAAGAAAACGATTTGTAATGCTGATTTTCAGCAAACCCTCTTCACTTTGAATCCTAGCCAACACCCCCCTTTCATTCAGCCTTGTGTCAAACTAAGCTCAATTTAGTAATTATAAATATAAATTATTTCCATTTTATTGTTAACTTTTACCCTCATCAGCATCATCATAATCTGTTTCATGACCGAGTGAGATCTTAGGGTCGCTGCACATCCGAGCGCCTGATCAGTTCCCATCGCATATCTGGATTGAAAGCCGGAGAATTATTCTTTTATAGGGTTGCATGTCTTGGGCAAATTGACCATGCAGAGCCCACCCCCTCCAGGTCAAACCATAGCCGATTTACTCCAACTTGTTGACTCACTTTAGTCACAGACATGTGGCCGTCGATTCCATTATGAGAACACTCTAAGCGTTGACTTCAGCCTAGGAAGCCCTCCTCCCAGCGGCATCGTATCATTGCTGCTCTGACTACATCTATAGCTATAAAGACCACTTATTTTTAACTAATGTTCACTCAATACAAGGCCCAAGAGCCATTCAAGGTAGAGTGTTACTGTGTGGAGTAGTATTAGCGTGAAAAAGGGAAGGATAACAGGAAAATAGATAATTCTGGATATGAAGAGGTCAAGATTTAATTAGCGAATAAAATTTCAGAATTCCGGCGGAGATGTTAGGAGTATAGAGTTGAAGTAGACTTTAGAAGGGACTGGAAACCCAATCCTAAACAAGAAAAAGAGATGAACCTATGCTCCTGTTCAAGAGACCGGAGAGGAGTGTGAATCAGACGACAGCCAGACCATTCTATACCATTCAGCTAGATGACCGTTAACCCTATGAGACGTTCACTATTCCTTTTATAGGTCTTTTTAATCCTGCTCGGTGTCTGACCAGCGTTTTTTTTTTCTTTTCAGAAAAGTCTAGTTACCAGATTTAATCGCCGATGTCCGGATAATCCGGCTGGTAGGACTGGATTACACGTTATCAGAAGCACTCATACAGTGACCTGATATATTTTTTTAATGAGTTAATAAAATAACAAAAAAACATGATGGCGGAAATTTAAGATTTTCAGTTATTGAACGTTTTACTGGGGAATGGGTGTTTTTATCGAATTACCATTTCTTATAGATTGCCAACCAAGGCTGAAGATCCCGCAGATTTCTCTTTCGGGACCTCTAACCGTTACATTACCTGCATATTCGAATGTTTTTATTTCATCTTATGAATTTTATAGCTCAATGCTCATTACATTCTACGGTAAACAGAATGACCGTAGAGTTAGTAGTCTCTGCTTATCAGATAAGCCACATTGACCAAACATTTTTACTGCAATGTCCGTGTGAGTTCTAGTCTAGCTGAGAGTTTATCATTCTTTGTTTTCGTTTCATGCTGTTCACTTAAACGCTCGTAATCCTCTGGACAACAATAAAATGGATGAAAAATTCATTAAAAATTAATCATGAAAACACTTAATCTTTTCATCTTAGTTTCTTTTCCAAACAATTTAAATTCTTTATCTGACACTACATTTAATATTAATGTGCCAATTTACCAGTGTTGTCAAGAAATACATAGTTTTGAATATTTTTCTAATTATTATTATTATTATTGTACTCTTTTCTTTCACGGTCTTTTCATCAGTCGGCTTCATAAGCATCTTGGAGCAGGGAAATTCGACTTGATGTAATGGTTAGCAAGCTTGTCTCACTAGATCAATTACGACTCAGTGAGTTCGATCCGCATACTTTCGGTCTTGTGCCACAGCTATTTTAGGGCACCTCGAAGTGGTGCAATGGTGAGAAAGCTTGTCTGGCTAGAACAATTACGACTAAGTAGTAAGTTAGATCCTCACTAGGTGCTCCATACTTTCGGCCTTCTGCCACATCTAAACTACGATTAGAAAATTGCCATCAGTATCTTGGAGCAGACAGCGTCATCTGTTGTCGCTAGTATAGGAAAGATTAACCTTACTTTCGCATATAATGTCCGAGAATTGTTTTTATTGATATCTTGTGGGGAAAAGAGCAGTCATAGATGCTATGAAATTAAGTGAATTTTTAACGCCTGTTTCGTTTTTCTTTTTATCATTGTCTTTAAAGTTATCTTGCCTGGCATTTTTTTTTCTTTTTTTTTTTAGAGTGGGTATTCCCTTCCGATTCACCATCTCGGAAGCTCAGAACCAGGACGGTACATTCGTTCAAACTGACCTCGAATTTAAGTCTCTCGGGTATGTAAAAACTAAATTCAATGGGGAGATTTTAAAAAATTTATTGATAAAAAATTACAATTAAATCGATTTATCAAAAAAACAAAAAAAACAAAAACAAAAACAAAGTGAAAGTTTTTTCGTTGTAATATTTTGTTTAGTTGTTGATTACTTAATAACGAAATCTAAATATTTTGACTTAAATTTTTATGGCTAAAACTAATATATTGTAAGCGCAATTTTATGCATTCAACTACAGATGAAACGGATTGGTGGTCATTTTGTTATAAAATGTATTTTTGCTATAAATTTTGTTGTTGGTAATTTTTCCTGTAAATAGATATTGTTGGTAAAATTTTATATAAAAATGTATTGTTGCAAATTTTACTATAATTATTTTTCATAGTGTTTTGTTTTTGTTTGGAGGTTCACTATTTACCCATAGCTGGGACCCTTATAGGATCGACCTGGAAACAACAGCAATCAAGAGGTTGATCCACGCTCCTCAAAACCTCCAATCTCTCGATCAGAGGCCTTACAGCCGGATGTCCTTTATCGTCATACCTAGGACTACAGAGTGAAAGAATTCGATTATACGAGTCATAATTAATTAAAGCAGATACATCATTAATGAAGAAGAAATGACAGAGATGTGGTTCTACTAAAGAATGTTTTAAATACCATAGACAGAAAATACGTTACGAGGAAGTTTTAAGGGAAATAGAAGCAATGTATATGATACTGACTATCAAAAAGTGCACGCTGGGAAACATTATTAGGAAAGAGGTTGTTTATGTATCTATCTCTATGATGTCATGTGGTTCGGAATTCGACATCTGGGAGCTCAGCTCAGGTCAACCCTTCACCTGACTTCCTTGATGGTCTGGCGTCAAATTGAGTGCAAAATTCATTATACTAGATTAAGCAAACGCATAACTTCCTTATATTTCTGAATAAAGAAATAAATTTATTAAAAAACATCAAATTTTTGCATTTTTTTTTACCTAAAATTTGTTTTAACAACTTTCGATATCCAGGAAAAACGGAATTATCAGTAATCATGAATTAATACATCCATTACCAATAGAACAGACCTATCAAATGCATAATTGTTAGTTCATAACAATATTCTACTGTGGAAACGTATAGGAAATTATACGCTTTACAATTAAATTCTAAAGGATTTAATTATGCATTGAAAACGATGATAAAAGGGTATATTGATAATCAGCAATTAATTTTTTCATGGGTCAAATGTTTCGACTGCTAGTAAAATCATTATTAACCTATAATGAGGTTATTTTTTTAAAATCAGTATTTTAGGGGTATACAAATTTTTTTTGTATATCAATATTGTTGCTTTTTTACCAAAATTGTTTCTTTTTTATACAAAATTATTTCTTTTGTAAAACAAAATTGTTTCTTCTTTTACATAAATGGTTTCTTTTTTTGCATATCAAAATTGTTTCCTTTTTATGTCAAAATTGTCTTCTTTTTGTATGTACAGTGCTGCACAAAAGTGAACCCTTAAGATAATATTTTTTAAAAATGTCTCTTTTTTCCAGATAATCAACAATTTTTAATTAAACGGTATATTCATTAAGAAAACCTTTATTAAACGAATTACAACCACTTTAAAATTTCTATAAAGCTAGAATACAAAATATTAATTAAAAATGAAGCTGTACAAAATTAAGTGAGCCCTTAATCTCTGTATTTTTTGTCTTACATGAATGCCAGTACAAATAATTTTTTGTATATGTATAAAAATCTAAATGACCCGTGTGTTCATTTTTTTGTATCCTGTGTATAATGCAACTGACCAATACAATTCATTGTGCATGCAAATGGGTGCAGTTAGAGACTAAATAAAAAAAATACCAAGATTAAAAGAACTTCCGGAAGCTTTAAAAAATCTCGTGTAATGATTGAAAAGGCTATAAAAAGCTATCAAAATGTTTGGAGTGCGACTAATTATTTATAAATAGAAGGCCTTTAATATGACGACATCGCAATCAAGAAGTGAAAAATAATTGCAAGAACAAGTAGACATGTAGTTCGACAAGCCTAGGCGAATCCTACCGTCACTTCTGCGGTTCTCTAAGGCTCCCTGGTCAATGTCGGAATGAATGTGCATACGTCTACAGTGCAATGAAATTAGAACGATGCCGGATCTTCATAGAATGACTAGAAAAAACAAAAAAACACTGCTTACAAAAATGTACAAACTCGGCTCAACTATGACAAAGTTCATATTAATAAGCTAGAAACATTCTGGCAAAAGGTTTTATGGTCGAATGAGACCAAACTAGAGCTATTTTTTTTTTTTTTTTTTTTTTTTTGGTAGAGAGGATAATAGACGGCATATCTGGCGAGTTCCGAATACGGCTTTTGAAGAGAAAAAATGATGACAGTAAGTTAAAGGGCGGCAGGATAATGATTTGGTGGTACTTTGCTGCAGCTGAAACAGACAAATTAGTACCATTGACGGCATAATGAACTCTTAAAAATACCAAGCAATTTTGAAAAAAATTGTCTTGAACTTTGTTCAAAAATTGGGTTTAGATCTTTCAAAGGGACAATGATCCGAAGCATCAAAGCAAATCTATAAAAAAATGGGTTCGAAAAAAGATATTCCAAGTTTTAAAATGGCCTAGTCAAAGTCCTGATCTAAACTGAATTAAAAGTCTGTGGTTCTAGTTAAAGAAGCCAGTACATGCAAAAAGTCCAGTTAATATCGTGCAATTATGGGACTTTTGTCAAGATGAATGGTCAAAACTTGACACTCATTACTACTAGAAACTTCTTAAAATTAGAGAAAAAAACTGGTCGACGTCTTGACCTCAATAGGAAGAGTTACCAAATATTAAATGTAAGGGTTCCCTTACTTTGTACATCTTAATTTTTAATGAATATTTTTATTCCAGCTTGATAAAAAATTAAAAGTAACTTCAATTCGTTTAATAAAGGTTTTTCTTAATTAATATATAGTTTGATTAAAATTTACTGATTATTTCGAAAAAAAGACATTTTTTTATTAATATTAGCGATTCACTTACTTTTGCACAGCACTCTATATCGAAATTGTTTCTTTTTTGTATATCATTTATCTTGATCAGAATTTTATAACCACTCTTTATTCATTGGTTTTTGCTCTTGATTATCATTTTCTTTGGTTTCTTACTCAGATAAAATCCAGAAATTAAAGAAGGCTCTTGAATATGTCAATCGGCTAAATGCGACGAACTGCGAGAATGGAACAGCTGACACTTTGGCCTTACGCCTTGACCCTACCATCTGGAACACTTATGCCAATGTTGCTGTGAAGACAGCCAATTTCTTAAGCAAGTATCTCCAGTTAAACACAGTCAATGGTAGTCTTCTCTCTGACTGGAGTGAATCGACGCAGCAGCCCGAATCAAAGAGAGACATCTGCAGTAACCTAACATGGCCCCAGTTACAACGACAATTTACCTTAAGAGAACAAGAAAACACAAATATCAGTGGGACAAGTGTAAATAGAAGTCGTCCTCACTCGATCGGTGACGTGAATATACATATGTTACTGTATTTACTTGTACAAAACAATATCGACACTGATTCGCCTGTAATTTTTGGATCAGCAGTAGCCTTCGAACCGTACGTAATCCCTTGCCTTGAGAAATATAGTCCGTATGCTCATAAAATGCAAAAGAATGGCGTTTACGTCGGGGACTTAGCTTCAAAATACAACTACTTAGATAGTAGTGTACAGTGGTATTTTCCGGTCAAGGCTAAAGTGGTGCAGAGACGGATCAAAACAAAAAGGATTAAATATGGGTAAGAAACATTTCCAAAATATTGTCGCTTTCTGTCAGACGAAATTAATCTACAAAGTTTTCTTTATTTCAGTGGCAAAACCATTTATACATACATGCTTACACTGTCCGATTTCATTACCCAAGTCCCCAAGTTTTGTAAATGAAGTTGGATTGATGAATCTGTTTGGAAGCTGTCGATGGTTCTAAGTACATAAAATCCCAGCTCATCGTGACGGAGGGTTTGAACGTATTAGCTTTTTTTCAACTGTTGCTCACACCAGATGCTTTCTCACAAAAACTGTAACTAAGGTCTGCTCAGTATATATTTAGTATAAATCACAGGTTCTACCCGAGCGTATTGGGAAAACGCGGAGTGCGCCTTTTAAATAAATCAACAATGTTTTGCGGCAAATTTTAACATCAACTTGAGATTTGTTAAAAGTTGAAAAATATTAATACATTGAACATTATGGTTAAAAAATAGTCAATTTTATACTTTTTTTTTTTTTTTTTTTTTTTGAGACTTAGCATGAGCAAAACCAATTTACGGATTTGAACGAAAAAATAAAAAAAAAAAAGAATGACGTGAAAATCGTCAAGTTTTTCGTCGTTTAATAATCAGCTGTTCTTAGTTTAATTAGTAACATATATAAATGTAGGTAGGAAAAAAGCAAGTGATAATATAGCGAGGATCAGAAAACACTGCCCGAGGCCCCCAATCAAGTTTGTCCCTCACCCCACCTCGGTCGGGGTGTTAGGAGTGGTACGCGCCGTCTTGAAAAGGAACTTCAACCACCAGGAAATCGGTAGTATATGTACTAATAAACAAATTATAAAGGCGATCTCAAATTAATAGTTTATCCAAAAGTTACTAGCTTAAACATATTTCTCTCATTTCGTTATTAAGTGCTAAAACGTGTGGGTAACATGTCATTTTTTTCTGAGAAATAATTATTTTCCAGATCTTTGAAAGATTAATTCACATTCATATAAATAATAATTGTTACCTTAAAAGTAGTAAAATTGCTCGATGTCATATTGATAAAAGAAAGAAATTGCGAAAATCTGGGACCGCAAAGTGAGACATTTGGCCTCTGAGAACCATTGTGATAAAAATTAGTATATTGATTTATTATCGACTGTCTCCAAAAATGTAAATGATAGACATGGATATGTGCTATATGATCATTATTGGCTTAGCTGCCATTTACTGGGCACACTTAGCAAAGCGGTAGGCTTCAAGATAGCCGTAATTTATCGCCTCCTTATTAAATATTTTGTTAAAAAAATAAATTGAATTAAATTTCATATGGTAAGGTTAGAGTTGCAGCTCTACACGTAAACCATAGAACCCACTTGGTGAGTGTTAAAGAGATCCCTGCAAAAACAGGAAAACAGAAAAAAAAATTACGAAAGCTATATCGTAGAATACATTTACCAAGAAAAATATCTTCAATCCAAAGTTCTTAGAAAGATTAAAAATCGTGAACAAACCAAATTAAGAAGTGGTGCAAGAGGAAAGCAAAGAGGACGTGTTGACGTTTCTTTTAGAGACGCAATATGGATTTCGATTCTATCGGTATTAACGATTACTGCTGAAAGAGTCTATCAAGCTTTAGATAAGAATTGTGAAGATCGAGCTGTTGCGTTGGACATCTTGAAAGTTTTTGACAGCATTTGGCATACCAGTCTCCTTCACGCATTGAAAGGTTATGGTATTTCTGGATGAACTTTTGAACTGATTTTGTCTTATCAAATCGTGAAATGAAAGTTATACTGAACGGCTACTCTTCTAGATATTTTTGTACTAATGCAGGTGACTTCCAGAGCGCTATCCTTGCATCGATTTTGTTCTTAAATTTTACTAATGACCTTCCTGATAGCATCAGTTCTCAATTTGGTATCTGTACTCATGACACAGCTATTTATTCATGTCTCGACAGTAAGTCTGATCAGTTCGATATAATTCAATTAGCAGCAGATATCAAAAAGAACCTAAAATCTTTTCTTAACAGGGTCAAGGAATGGTTTGTTAATTTTAACGCCTCCAAAACGAAACTTCTCTATATTAATCATCTAAAACACCCATTTCTGTCTCCCATCAGCATGGCTGATGCTAACTTCCAGGAAAGTAACTCGTTGTGCCTTCTCGAGCTAAAATTCTCGGCAAACATGAAGCGGAAAGATTATTATATTGAATCAATTGCTAGTTGGTTCACTCCGTTGTGATGGACAATTTTTCCCTCCAAAATCTATCTTGCATATTTATAAATCTACCATTATTCTATGTTTTGAATATTACTACCAAATGTGGTCGAGTTCTCTTGCTATATATTTGGAGATTTTTGATAAAATCCATAGAATCAACTATATTATTTATCCTGACCTGACGTCTCGACTTCAGTCACTTTCCATCGCCGTAATGTAGCTTCCCTGTGCCTTTTCTATAAATACTTTCATGGTAATTGTTCAGATGACCTTTCCTCTATGGTACCTAGATTTTACGAATTTAAGCACAGTACCAGTTATTAGCAATAAAGTCTCGTCAATTTACAGTTGAAATAGGTATAGGTAACCCTAAGTTCTATGCTAGCATTTTCTTTTCTTGCACTTATCGCTTGCAGAACTCTCTTCCGGCTACATACTTTTTAGCCAACTTTAATTTTCAAAAATTTAAATGCATTGTCAGTCGTTATCTATTGTCTTCTTGATTACTCTTCTATTGTTCTCATTCTTTCGCACTCAGTAACCCCCTCGTGTCTTTGTGTCTTGCGTGGAGTTAATCGATTAAAAAAAAGTTCAGAGATAATCATTTTCTGTTTTAAAAAAAGTCATTATTTTTGTCAGTTTTTATTCGAGCAAGATATTAATTTTGTTATTTTTGCTTAAGAAATTTAATTCAGTTATTTCGTCTGAAAATAGTAACGATAATTCAATTGTTTTAGTCATTGCCACCATCTTGATTCCTACTGTCATCGGAAGTGAAGCTTTATTTTTTTCACTTATTGAGCATTCCCACCAGTATTAATTTTACAGCGAGGCAAATCGGGGGAAACGCGGATCTGTACTGTCGCTACAAGGTTATCTCTCAGATTAACCCGGTGATGCACCTGGCTAATCTGAAGTACACTTACTGTAACGTCTATTTTAGCATCATCTGACATGAATCAGATGTTAAGTTAGCTTATTCTGGTACAAGGCCACAAAATGTGAACGCGTGTGAAAATCGAAATCACCATAGAATAAAATCAGTCAGTTTAATTTGCTAAACCACTAATTTCCAGGGCGTTCCTATACTTAGTCAAAGGAAAAACAAACTAAAATAAAGAATTCTGTGAGGATCAAACGCGCTACAGATATTTGTTAATGTGTATTTATAAGTCTGCCATGCCTTGAATATTGCTGACATATGAATTTAAGTGCAGTACTAGATCTGTGTCAAGGTCTCATCATTTTACAGTTGAAATGGTTATATGTAATCATAAGTTCTATTTAATTTTCTTCTCTTGCACTTCTCTCTTGTTGAACTTTCTTCCAGCTTCTTGCTTTCCAGTCAACATTGATTTTCAAAAATTTAAATGCAATATCAATCGTTATCTTCTATCTTCTTAATTCCTGTTCTTTTATTGTTCTCTCTCCCTAAAAATTTTTTTTTCTCATATTCTCTAACACTCAGTAACCTCATGTGTCTTAGCGGTTTTATTGCTTTGCTTGGGGCGAAATAATTAAAAAAAATCAAATATGTTGTTATTTTATGTGTGTTAATAAAAGTAAGAATTACATGTAATTCTATTTCTTGCCCTTCTTAATATATAAGACAGATGGACATTGACTACCGGCCAGTTAATTATACATATGCCGAAGTCAGCTTAGACGATGGACATTGGACAAATCCGTACTTCGACTGCGGAGGAGGTAATGCATGGATGGTTACCTTTTCTTCTCCAATTTTATGGATAAGCCCAAACAACACCATTTCTTTTAGGTAAGTTGTTTTCTTTTATACACACACACTCTCTCTCACACACACATATGTGGGGGGTTGATATAATAGGAAAGAACTGTTAGATTAATGATCCGATGTTCTTTAGTATTTTTGGTTTTATTTTTAAACAACAGTGCTCGATACAGAATTATAATTATTTTTTTAAAAATATGATTCCATCGCGTTATTCCATAGAGTTATTCCAAACATCGCTTGAGGATGACACTGTCATCCAACAGTTAAGGTTTAATATTCAAAATGGAACTTGAATACGGATGACTATTTTCGAAACAGAAATTTCTGTTTCGCTATGGAATCATATTTTTAAAAATATTTATATATATATATACATATATACATACATATGTATGTATGTAGTAGTAGTAGTAGTAGTAGTAGTAACCCAGCAGCCATGAGGCCAAAATGCACAAACAAACAGGAAATAAAAAGTATAACAATGAATACTGGAAAAATGCAAGAAACAGAAATAATCGAAACATTGAATTAGAAAATGTATTATATGTATCTATGTCGGGTCTATTTAGTGACTGAAGTACTTGAATATTTTCCTAAGTTGTTTCCATGTTCAGCTTTCGATTCCTGGTAAAAGACAGTTGGGGAAGCATCCTCCAATAGAATTTACTCAAAAGAATCTGTTTTAGTACCTAAAATTAGAAAAAAAAGTAGATTAGTTTCTGTCTGAACTTCTGAGATGAATTATGATTGTTATAAACTGAGTTTTTTGGAAGGTTGTCTTCAGCTTTTTTGTTATCACCTCGCTTCGGCTGTTGCAAACAACTTCGCCTTCTGAAAATTTCAAACCGAAATATTCACTCAATCTCGAGTGGAAGATTTTACTTGATTTTAATATCTGTGCCAGCATAGATAATTCGTGTTACTTGAATCTTAGTTAATTGGAGACTGTCATGCTGTTTCTGCTCCTTTCAATGAACAAAACTGATTAGACTACCAACGAACACATAAAATGCATGCATTCCAAAAATGCTAATAATCAAAGCAAAAATTTAAAAAGCCGAAACGTTATGATTATATCAACTAAGAGAAGTACACCATGTCAAATAGATAATTTGATGTATTAGTATGAAGATACTTAAAAAGACGAGAGTTGATGTACAGATTGGAAATATTTATTAAATACGATAACTATATTGAGTATCTGTAATAGATCTCTTGGATGAGGTTTTATCATTATTTACATTATTTGGACTGTTAGCCTCATCTTCATTGCTATATTCACAACATTTCGGCCGTTGTACGCTCCGGCCTTCTTCAGGTGATTGGAATTTCGAACCGAACTCATATTTCTTCCATCGGGATAGATTGTTCTTGTTCCACGAGCCATGCCTCTTCCAGATGTCTCAGTTATTTTCCTTTAACTCAACTCTCCAAGTTTTTGGTTCACCACTGCTGTAGCCTTGTATTGAACTCACAACTCTTTGGGTTTAGTCAATGGATCTAACCAATGCCTTTATCTACTGGGCCCTGTTATGTGAATCTTCATCTCGTAGTTATGTCAACCTTCTGATGTATATGGCTTCTCTGTTGCTCTGGTGTGACAATGACTTCAAAATCTGCGTTTATATCTCTTAGGATAAACTCACTACATACTGGGATCAACACAGACCAACTTATAACAACGGTTGCTTATTGACATTAAATTCCATTCAGTCTATTTGGTATGAATTTTTGATTCCCGTTCGAATTTGTGAAAGCAGGTTTCATCTAGAGTTAATAATCTGCGGTGGAAATTCTCAGGGTCAGCTTGGAAGTGAGTCAGTGTTTATCGTGAAAATGTCAACCCATTTCAGTTTCTGCTCTGGTGTCAGCATTCCTAGGACCCATCTTGTAGACTGCTTACTCATCCCCAAGCTCCCAGTTTAAAACAGTATGGACCGAACCAGAACTAATGCCTATGGACTTAATTATCTACTGGACCGTGCGACGTCTGTCATCCAAACCCATACGGTGAATGTCATTAATTTGTTCATCAGTAATTAAAGTTTTTGGACGCCCTACCGAGGGTCATCTTCTGTGTTGTCACTGTCCCACTTGAATTCCGCAGCCCACTTCGTCACAGTTGCAAAAGAAGGGAGTCCCCAGCAAGTGTCTCTACTATGTCTTCGTGTAGTGTCATACCTTTCTTCTTCAGATACTTTATGACTGTTCGGTCTCTGTCTTGCCCATTTTTAGATTTGTCGCACACTTTTCACCTTTGCATGGGTTTCACCTGCGCAGAAATTAAGACAGAAATCTGAATCAGTTTTTCTAGTTTTATGAGAAGTGGTAACGTGTTGTCACAACAAGAATGTTCATATATGGCTCTTCCTTCTGAGTGAGGCCTAGAACTTGTTGATGACCCTCGTATGAAATATTTGATTCTTGGGTTAGGCATTAGTTCACATTGTTACTGCACCTCAACTTCATTATGCAAACAAAGAAATTCGGACATTGTAAGGTTATTCAAATACTCGCAATTTATTTGAAATAAATCTTATTTAGCAATGACTGCGGTATTTCCACGAGATTTGATTTCGAATGATGTTTTCTTTCTTTGCAATTAACGATGGACGTGTAGAGGTGTAGCAACCATCGACATTCATTTAACGAATATTGACATCAACCAATGCGATGACGAAAACTACGAAGGTGTTAATACACATGATGAAGTGAAAAATATTGGAGATATTTTTCGAGGCACCCACAGTTGCCAAGCGACGACAAAGGTGAGTACAAAAATGTCCCTCTTTACGGAAAGGCAAAAATGAGTGAATATTATGTGAAATAAATGTGCACGTCTCTTGAATGTTTCTACAGACGATCTAGAGCCGGCATTGGCAGTGATGATGTCTATTTTCAACAAAAGATTAATGTTCAAGGTTAGTTAAAATCCGACATTTCCAACGAAGACTTACAATGACAAACGCCATTTAAACATTTAGTTCATGATGACAAAATCCTCCCATGAACTGATGCAACAAATTTGAATTTAACCTGGACTAAACAAAAATTACTAAATGTTATAAGTGAAAATAACAGGTAGAGAATGGAGAGGCTTGTCATAGTGGCTGAAGCAGTTACGTGTTTGAACTTGGTTAAGCTTGTAAATATTATTATATTTTACATTGATTGGTTGATTTGTTTGTTTGCATATCCACTCCTTATGAGTCATTTAATGTTGAAATTTAATTAACTTTGAAATAATAAAAATGTGATATGTATTATTCTGCTTTCACATTTGAATACAGAGAGATAATACTCAACTTTTGTGCATATATGCGCTTGTGTTGACATAAATACTAGAGGCAGTGATATGTATGTAGTTTTGATGAAGTTATATTTTAGAATACAGTTTGATTTATTTAAGAAATTTTAAGATATTCTATGGATTAATGTCCTGAAATAGTTCTTTCATGTTGGTTGGTTGATTTTGTTTAGCGGCATATCAACCTGTCTGGGTTATTTAATGCTGAAATCTAAATATTTTGTACGTATGTTTATACTTTCACCTACAGATATTTTGAACATAATTTATACTGTCTTTATGTATGTCTTTTAGATATATATTTTGCAGATCATAAAATGTATTGTTGGCAATTTTACTATAAAAAGGTATTTTTATATTTTTCTTAGTGTTGCAGTGTCATTTTACTATAAACATATATTATTAGTCATTTCATTATAAAAATGTACTGTTAATTTTTGTTCACTATTTGCTACAACCTGGGGTTAAGGTGAACCTGGGAATAACAGCGTTTAAGAGGTGGTTCCACGCTCCTCAAAACTTCCAATATTTCGATCAGAAGACTTGCTACTGGATGTAGTTTATTTTTTTAAATATTTTTTGATTTCGCCTGGTACAACCTATAATATTTTTTTTATTACAGTACTGATAAATCAATAATAACTTCAACATATTTCTTTTTATTATGTTACAAACCCAGTGAATGGCTGTTATTACGCGTTCTCAAATTCTGTAATAAAATAAGAAAGGATATCTTGTGATTCACTTGAGAGGATTTGGTGTAAGTTGGCAGCCATTTCAAGAAGTTCATTTTGGTGGTGGTTGTTTTTTTAATCATTTCACTCCAAGCAAGGCAATAAAGGGGTTACTGAGTAAGAGAGAATATGAGAAAAAGAACAACACTATTGACAATAAAAGATCAGGAATTAAGAAGACAGAAGATAGCGATTGACATTGAATTTAATTTTTTGAAGATCAAAGTTAACTGGAAAACAAAAAGCCGGAACAGAATTCTATAAGTGGGAAGTACGAGAGAAGAAACTGTTAGCGTAGAACTGACGATTATATCTAGCCATTTCAACTGTAAAATTATTAGACCTTGTTGCCAATGTAGTACTGCACTTAAATTCACAAATACTAGGCAGCAAAGAGGAATGCTCATCAGAATAATTACCAGAAAACTTACACAGCGTGCATGAATCGAAACTGTCATTTGGGATAATAGTGTTACTACTGAATGAGCTTGTGTATTGTGTTTTACGTTAAATTGCGCTGGATATTTTTCTGCGGAATTTTTTCAAATGATCAGAAGGATTTCGGAGACGATTCAGTGAATAAAACTCTGGTAAAAATTTTGATACCGACGCTTCAGATTTTGCCGCTGTTCTTTGAAAATGATTCACGCTCTATAAGGCTCTAAACAAGAACAAGCGAAAATGCTAAATGCATGCAGTCTGCAATTCAAAGAATCGGTGTATGAAAGAAAGTGCAAAAATAAGTTCTATATATCACAGACTGTCCGGAAATTACCCAATCAATTTAAGTATCTTGACTGATTATTCTTCCCTTCGCAACGTCTTTCTTTTCAAAATATCGAACCACGCATATCTATCGGATCACTGTTCTGGGTATGATGATAAACTACATCCGCGTCCCGGATAAGACGCTAAACTACGTCCAACAGCAAGGCCTCCGATCAGGAGGTTTTGAGGAGCGTGGAATCACCTCTTAATTGCTGATGTTCCCAGGTCCACCCTGACCCGGGGTGGTAGCACCTGTTAGGGTCCCAGTTATGAGCAAATAGTTAACTCCCAAACTGGAGTCAAAACACTAAAGTGTAAAAATAGGTTTTAAAACCAGAAATATTTTGTAAAAAATTATTACCAGCAATACATTTTTGAAAAAATATTACCTGCAATAAAAATCTTGTCGGCATTAAATAACCCACTGAGGTTGATATGCTGTAGAACAAAATGAACCAAACCAAACCAAATCTATCGGATCACCAACCAACAGTTGGCCAGATTCCTATGAATTATGTCTCTTCCTAAAGCTAAAATTACAGTTGAAAAGTGGTAGATTACAGACCGGGGACGAGATTAAAGAGAACATGACGAAGCAGCACGAGGTTTTGAAAAATTGTTGGGACAAATGTGTAAGGTCTCAACGAAAGTACTTTGAAGTGGAGTAAGTTGCCATTACCCAAGATAGGTTATTTTCTTTCTTTCTTTCTTTCTTTTGTTTTAAGCAATCACATAATTTACGTCTGTCAGCCCACCTACAGTAGCCTAGATAAGTTACTTTCTCATTAATATTAAATGGCTGGATTATTTACGGGCAGTCGTAATGGGTGGTGGGGATGACAACGCATGCGTGTTTTGTGTATGTGCGTGCGTGAATGCTTTTTGCATGTTTGTTCGTGCTTTGGGTTGCTGTGTGTGTGCGCGTGTGTGTATGTGTGTGTATATGCAAATGAGTTCGCATGCGGGTTTTTATATGTACGGTGATTTTCTCAGCGTAGCTTAGATGTGGCACAAGTCTCAAATTATGGAGCTCCCAGTGAGGATCAAACGCACCATTCAATCGTGTGACTGATCAAGGGAAACAATCTTGCTCATCATTACACCACTTCTAAGTGCCCATGTTTTGTGTATGTGTGTGTTCTTGGTTTGTAAGCATATGTGTGTGCGTGTGTGTGACCATTTTACAGTAAGGTTCACCTAATACAAGGCCCTGTGGACACACGAGGGTGAGGGTTAAGGTAAGGAGTAGTTTATAAGCATAGGATGGGGAGATAACGGTTAACCCTAGACTTTAACAGGTTAAGATTAACGGAGTAATGGATAGCGGTTCGAATTGAGTAATTGGAGAACCGAGTTCGAATTCTAGTTGAATCCATTATATTCACTTACGTGCTAATACCCTTGGGAAAGGTATGATTCCTCCTCTTCTTCCCACAGCTAAGGGTAAATAGTTGGACAGACCTGGTTTTATAGCCTTGGACTGGTCTACTGCAGAAAGAAATGGCAACCTACTGCGGGAAAAATCTGCTTCGTCAGTCATGTATCGAAAGATACATGATCGCCTAAGCGTGTATCACGCATGACACATAACTGTATGTTTTGTGTATGTCTGTGCGTGAGTGTTTTGTGTGTGTGTACATGCTTTGTGAGTCTGTGTGTATGAGGGAATGTATGTGCGTGTTTTGTGGATGTGTGTACGTAAATGGTTTATGCGTGTGTGCTCGTGCTTTTTGTGTGTGCGTGTATTGTGTGTATGTGTGTGTGTGCATGTGTACTTACCCGCTATCTACATCTGTTACAGTTCTGACTATAGGTACATGCTTATATTTTAACTTTATTCTATCTTATTCTAAGTGCGTCCATATTCCAAAGTACGGTTTCCGACGGGGCTCCTATCGCTGTGTATGTAAAGACGGTTACTACTTCCCAGTGAAGCAAGTTAAATCTCGCTATTTCAACGGTTCTGAAGTTGAAGATTACTATGCCGGTAAACAGCATAACAGGACAAGCCGTTTGAATATCTTCCGCTGCCTGCCGTGCGCCCGTCTCTGTGAAACATGCACTGATTCGACACCTTGTATGTATCAGAAGAATAGTGTAGTACGGCTGACCATCATAACACTGTCTTCATTATCGCTGATCATTGTGATGATGCTAGCCGCTGTCGTATGCTACATACGTCAACAGTTGGTAAGTACAATGAAAATGATCTCCATTATTGTCCATGTCCTAAGGGGTTGAAGCAGATAAAAATGATTCTGTTAATAAAAACATTATTAAATTTCTTCTTGAAATGTGTCACTAATTGAATTTTAATACAAAAAGCCATATACTGGGTGTAACAACAAAAGTGTCCAAATCGTGTAAAAGCAAAATTGTTCATTTGTTAGATTAAGCTTTGAATCGTTGTATCTTAGAAATTATTAAAGATATCTTACTGGAATTCACCGAGGTTTTTATAACACTATTGGGCTCTACTTTAAGCAATAAAAATGTATAATTACTCTACAAGCTTAGCAGAAGAATTGTAATGAAATCGATCATAAATGAAAATAACATGTTCATCATTAATTAATCATAGCTAAGAATCGGTAACTCATGAAGGACTAAAATTAAGTTCAAATATATATATATTATTCCAGATCATTTTCCAACCTAGTCAAGATGATTTTCGCTCTCTCTAACCTTCTATCTTTCTGTCCTGTAATAACAAGGCGCTTTACACGTTTCACGTACGATTTCATTTTCAAGTCTTTTTTTTTTTTTTTCTCTTTGGACTGTCATAGTTGAAACTCCTCTCTCACGTACCAAACGTCTTTTGTATTGATTTGCATCTGTTCTACTTGGTCCCTAGTTGAAATGATGATTCCTCTTCCTGTTGTGATCTTCTGATCCAGTTTCCTCTCTAGTGTTCATTCTTTTTTAAACTTATTCATCGTTCTCTAGATAGATCTTGAATGGACTTTGAAGATGTAAGCCAGAGAATGAATATTGGTACCATTACTGAAGGCCTGAATGATCTTTTCCTCTCACCACTGCTCAGTTGGGAAGGCAGTGGGGCTGACGCAGAACGATTTTAAGCTGCTCTCTTTCTAACTGAATAATTCAAAGGGGTTTTCAGTGGCTCTTGCAAAAAATGGTGTCAAGATGGCTAAACATCTTATCTGAATATCTGAAAAAAAGAAATTATTTTTTTTTTAGATATTAAACATTTTGTATGACGTACAGTTATGTAGTTACACAATTTGGAAAATTTTGCTGTTACACCCGGTATATACTACTTACACACAGTTCTTTTTATGTGCCGTGTCCCTTCAGGACGTGGGTGATCATGAATCTCCGCAAATCTCCTTTGTCGCCCTTAGCAATATTTATTTTTTATTACCCTTCTCACTCCTTGTTTTGCCATCCGTTAACACAAGCTGGTTAGGTAGGTTACTCACTGTTTCCTTCTGTCCATCTTACCTTCAATATATCTTGTGAGTGTTAAATTCTCTAAACCTCTTTTCTTCATTATGTATTCCAGAAATTTCAACTGTTTCTGGTTCTAAATAAAAGTATCCTTTTTGTTTCCATTTCCTTTAAAACTTCCTCGTTGCTCACATGCCTCATCTATGGAATTCTCGGTATACTTCTGTAGAATCACATCTCCGTTGCTTAATGTCTTCTCTTTGTCTGTGAGGAAACTGACCAGCATTCATTGCCATAAAGAATGATTGATATTACATAGATCTTTTTTTGTTTCTAATGAAATGTTCCTGCTACTTAATACCGTGCTTAGCTTTTGGAAGGTATTATTCGCTATTGTAATACGTTTAAGTAGGGTTGAGAATTTTTAAAATTGCTTAATTTCCTAAATATCTCATGATAAATGGATGCGTGCTATATCTCAGAACTCGTTGTATAACGGAAAATATTTATTTTTTTCTCTCTTATATTCAGGTTATCAAATCAGCCAGTCCTATTTTCCTTCTGACGATGTGCCTTGGAGCCGGTATAATGTCCTTTGAGGTAAGTTCTATATGAGATAAATATTACTGTATCATAGATACAAAAAGAAGTTTTATTTTCTTGGCAGTCTTTATTATTTTCATTACATTTCTCGTGCCACACGGGGTATTATCATCCTTATCTTTGTAATTATATTTTTTATCTTACACCTGCCAGTAATTACCACCGGATGTCAAGTGCCAATAAATCTCGTAAAATCTCTATCATTTACCTGGATATTCTCACCGAATGCTTTAATGTTTTATTCTTGTGATTTCGCGCCAATCGTATCCGATGCTTTTATTTGAAGAATAAGTGATAGCAAGCTTCTTAAGTAGACTAGCGTCTTGAGGCGCATACAAGCTGATCAATTCTTTTATCAGATGAAACAAAAACCTGATCTTCTTGGACACAGGGGTGTTGTTTTCGTTTGGGAAAAGAGCAACGAAGTATTCAATCAAATGAACAGTATCCCAACAGCCAAGAATAGTGATGGCAACAGGGGTGGGGAATTCTGGTTAAAATGGATAAAAAAAAGATATATTCAGATTTTTAGCCAAAACATCAGACTACCAAAAGATCTGAGCAGGAACAGCAGTGAACTTATCAACCAGACAATTGCCTAAAACACATTTCAAAGTTGGCCAAGAAATGCTTCATTTCTGGGATGAGATGTCATCATTATATACATTTCGACTAATGGCCTCATCTTTGTTGTTATTATCACCTGGAAACCTTATGCCTGAATTTCTGGGATGAGGAGTTATCATTATATTCATTTGGATTAATGTCATCATCTTTGTTCTTATTATCACTTAATGACCTTTTGTCTGAAATTCTGGGATAAGCAATACTAGATTGAGTGCTACATTGCATCATTTTACATTTGAAATCGACATGTGTAACCTTAAGTTCTATGCTAATAGTTTATTCTCTTGTACTTCTTGTTTGGATAAATCACTTCCGGCTTCTTGTTTTACAGTCAACTTTGATCTTCAAAAAGTTAAAGTTTCAATTGTCATCTTATGTGCTCTTTGAAATCTGTTATTTATTGTTCTCTCTCTCTCTCTCTCTCTCTCCCTCCCCCTCTCCTTAATAATGATTTTTTTTCAAATGTTTCACTCTCAGTAACCCACTTGCATCTTAGTAGCCTTATTGTCTTGCTTGGGGTGAAATGATCATTCATTTTGGAAGTGTTAAAATTAACAAGTCATTTCAATAAGGAATTTTCTATTGGATTCTTGCTTTCTGGTCAACTTTGATCTTCAAAAAATTAAATACATCATTAGTTGTCATCTTCTGAATCCTTTCCTTTTATTGTCCTCTCTCCTTAATAATGATTTTTATCAGATTCTTTCACTCTTTGTAACCCTTTGTGTCTCAGTGGTTTAATGCCTTACTTGGGATGAAACTATTAAAAATAAAAAAAAACTATAATTAATATTACATACTTATTTTAATGTTTAAAATTAATTCTGGACTTTATAGTTGGCATTAATGAGTTAAATAAAATATATTAAATTTTATCAATTTATTTGTTTCAGATTTTCATTCTCTATTTGGAACCAACTAATCTCCTCTGTCAGTTGGCTTTATGGCCCAAACACCTTGGTTTCGTGATCATGTACGGATCTCTCGTTCTGAAAACTTGGCGGTACGTGGAAATATTTATCTCTTCACGCTTGTGCGAAAATTGATTTATCTTATAGCCAATAAGATCATAACATCTTTGAACGTCTTTTGGAGATTCCCGTATTTATTGTGACAATCATTTTTACTTGAATTCATATAGGAGACGAACAGATCTAGACTCAGTTCAAAGGAGACGAAAGGATCTGGAATCAGTTCATAGAGCAACTTGTAATTATTTTTCTTTTGATGGACTGACTGGATGATCTTTGGTTCATGCGACACCCTAGGGGTCGGTGAAGAAATCAAGGGTTTGAATGAGGGTCTGTGTGCGAATGACACTGAGCTAAATTTTAGTTACTGTACATGTATGCTGTATTCTTCGGATCAAATGAAAGAAAGTCACTGAAAGTTTCGACAGAATCAAAAGCCTTAGTTGCATCTGTCCAAGTAGCTTTGAACTTATTTTGATGAAACTTATTTAATGCCACATTGAGCATTGCTTGCTCTTTTTTAATTGTTCTAAGTTGATTTTCAAATAACAATCCCCTTTTTCAACCGTTAACTGTAAAATAAGGAGTTGAAGGTCATTTGGCCTGATTGGTATGATTGCATAAAATATGATGCAATATTTGCTTATTTAATTTAATTAGTACAGTTGTACGGTTGGATATTAGTAGCGGTTATGCATTTCTATTCAATAGCATCGGATGTATTTAGACTTGGTGTACTTAATATATTATTTGCTTGAGCCATTGTAGTTTATCAATATATTTTTTAAATAAATATTTGGGGGAAAATTCTGAACCTGATCTAAATTTCTTAACTTTTCATGCATTTTAGTTAATATTTTAATTGCCAACATCAGTGCGAGTTTTAAGGTTCAAATATATTTTAAGTGGGGGTCGCTGGGGAAGGAATATAAACAAACGGCTTTCTCTGGTCGAAAATATTTAACGACCCCTGGTCTAGTGGTTAAAATTAGAAGAAAATACAACACGGACGTTTTGTAATGGTGCGTGTACCGATTAAATAATAACACATTACTTCACATTTTATTTGCTTCAGTATCTTGTCAGTTGCTCTCAGCCAGTTTTGGGATGTGATACGTGAACCTTACATTCTCCATCCGCCGCATGTGAGAAACTTCCCTTGACTGTATGTGACGACTGTTTATATAACAGTATGACAAACATTCTCATTTTCACACTTGCAATACCGGATACAATTGCATGGTCATGTACTTCTGCATTCGATGGTCAGAACTGACCCCCAAGTCAACATTCTGGCGCATCAGGCTTCCTTGATGTTTGGTGTGGATTTCGTGTAGTGTCTACTCCGGTAGCATACTATAGTTGTGGCTGCGCGTTCTTTATTTGGGTGGAGACTGATGAGATAATGAGAGAGGAAAGTTTATTATTCAGTCAAGGAACACATTTCGTCTAAATGCCTCTAATTACACGCAGGAGCGAAAATGTTTTAACACTCTGTATCTCTGACCCTGACTTCTTAGTTCATAATCGATATAAACAACTTGTCGCTTTCTATGTTTCCATAATCAAAATAATCCCCATGGAACCAAAGGAAATAAATTTTAAAAAAAATGAAAACCTAAACTTTTATCGTGTGAGTCAGACAATGGAAATCAGGCATGGCATGGAAGGAAAAGAACCCTGTGGAATGAAGTAAAATTACTAGACAGAGAAAAATACTGGAGAATCTGACGTCTGAAGGAACCAGTGTATATGCTATGCCTACTGACGTGGTCCCAGCATATAAATAAATCGCATATGGGAGTTATTTGTAAATAATGAAAGAGAAAAACAAAGGCTACAGCAAAACCGTAGCAGCAGTATGGAAAGAGAAGTGTGACAGTCACAGCAGTAACAATGTCAGCAGCAGGCAGAAACAATAAGCATTAGATTTAAAGCCCTAACTTCTAGATTCAGGATTTTCCCACGGAACAATAGCCTAGTAGATCAAAGCAATGACGTAGTAATTGTGAGTTCAATCTCTGGCCCGAGTAATTCAGCAATAATCGAACAGTACTAAGAACAATCTAGACCGATAAATAAAGTTCATTTAGATTGACACATACCTGAAGAAGACCGGCGGTCACAATGGTCGAAACACTGTGGTAATCTCACTTGGCTTCGTCAAGCGCCATTGAGTGGTGCTGTTTAAGTTAATAAAAAGAAAATCATTTTCCTTCTCTGACTCACTTTCTCGTATTTATTCCAAGATATGTCAGAAAAAGGAAGAAAAAGGAAGCCCTCCCCTCGTGGTATGTTCTTTTCCCTGGTTCACTGAGAACAGAATAGTTTTTTCCACTTTCCAACGCGTGGCGTTCGCACATGTCTTCCCAAACCTCCACTTATGAAGTAAATCAATCTTTTCTTTGGTCGTTCCAACTCGGCGCAAGGCCGACTTGATCACGACTACTTCAACGATGTTTATCCTTAATTACCCTACTTGGTGAAGCAATAAAAAGAAAACGGACATGCTTAGACCTCTAACGAAGAAATAGATATAAACTTTTCTTTGGTCGTTCTAACTCTGTGTTATACTGACTTGAGCTCGATCGTTATAACAGTATTTATACTTACTTACTCTAACTCCTGGACCAGAAAAGAAACGGATACACCAAAGCTACATTGAGAACTTTGTTTCACTATAGCTTATGTAAAAAAAGAACAAACGGCCTGCGGTAGAAACCTAAGTTTTCGTATGCTTCTTCTCTAATTGTTTACACGTGAACACGCACACACACCTAAAATACACCCTAACCTACCAGCTTTAAATTCTATAGCATTAACGCTTGTTTGAAGTTGCTGGATGAGTTTGCAGTGGGTCTCTGTTGTGGCTGGTCGGTGTAAAACCAAACTCCGGGGAACTGAACTATTTCCATCTTGCAAAGAAGATTGTTAATTATAGAAACGGCACCACGTTCACCCACATGCTATTGTTAGAATATTTCAACACCAATAGAACCTGTGAAATTACATAATTATTAGGCTGAACAGGTTAAAATAATAATCATAATGAAAATCTTAGAAACAATTTTCAGTTATTTTCTTTAAGAATATCTTAGATTGAGTGCAAAGAATATATGACCTGTTTAGTAGATGTAATTCGAAATCCTAACGTACTGGCGTGAACTTTGGCCCGAAACGATCCGAAATGAGTGGGTTGAACCTCGTGGGCATGGAATCGTGACAGTGATAAATTTCCTTTGTTTAAATTCTGATATAAAGTTGGAAAATGCGCGAAAACGAAGAATGCAATTGCGGCACTAGAGGATCGAGATCTCTGCTAATCGTCCGAGATTTTCTTTCCCAGATTACCTTGTATGACTGTGGTTTCAACAAAGTGAAGGTTCCAAGCAACGATAACCTCACCTATGTAGAGAAGATAGTACCTGGCCGAGCTGCTGACATCCGTTTCTCTCTGTCTCTCTCCCTCTCTCTCTCTGTCTGTTTCTCTCAGCGCGTGCGCGTTTCGTCCAAGAAACGACGAATATTATATTCCCCCAAATGAAAGTGAAATCTTAAAGAAAACGGAGAAAAAATGTCTGTCGTTAATTCGGCGTGTTGATGCAGTTTTAGGGCACTGCTAAAGAAATGCAGCTACAGTTTACAATCCAGTGACGACACACAATGCAATAAATGCGAACTTTACCTTGGATATGGGTATCTGTGTATTCTGCTGCGGATCAAAGTATTGCCTTCTGGTCCTCTCCCGAAAGTCAGTGTAAGATCTCTACGTTCTGACTTAGTATTTGCACTTTGATTTTACCATATTGTTCAAGCAGTTGAACGCAGATATAGAGAATACTTCACTTGCCTGACACCCTCCGAGTTGAACATCCGAATCAGGGTTGGGGTCACTTGTTAATTTTATATATCTGTTTTCGCTAAGGCAACAGAAGTTACGGACTGAGAAACAGAAAAACAATAATTCTGTCAACATATACATAAATCTCTTCCAGCACTTAGGGGAAAGGTGGAGTAATAGATATCGGCCCGGATTGAGGAATCGGAGAACTAATGCTAATACCCTTGAATCTCTATAAATCCTCCTGTTCTCTCCCAGCTATGGGTAAATAGCAGCACCGACTGGATTCTATAGCCTTGGGAGTAAGTAACTCTGAATTCAAAAACTGTATGTAGCACATACTATACAGCTAAAAAGAAATTCGGAGTTGTATCGTCGGTGATTTCAAATTATCTTGCTATTCCTTTGGATGAATCAGCGACGTGGAGAATGGGGTCATGCTGCATGTCATCCATATCGTCCTGTCCAGGCTTAATCCTACCTTACAGATGGGATCAAATCATTGATGACCGGCAGATGCCTATTTGATCTGAGATATATATATATATATATATATATATATATATATATATATATATATATATATATCTGGCAGGATACGAACTTGCGTCCGCTAGAGGGAATCATCATTAGATCTAACGTGCTTTGATCTCTCGGCCACGAAGAACTTCCTGGTCAACAAAGCTCGAATAGTGCTTTTGAACACAGACCTTTCCCGATTCTTAAAATATACATATCAGCTCAGTTTCTTATCCTAACGGAGACATATTTTTAGGAATGGATTTTTCATTTATTAATCCGACATATTTATATTTATTGCTTTAAGGTTATTTTAATGGATACCCATATTTGAGAAGATGCCCTGATTTTATTTATTTATTAAACAACACCTATTTATTTATTTCCATCGGTAGGTTTATATTTGAGAAAATATCCTGACGGAGACCGCATATTTTTCTAAGAAGATTTCTCATATATATATATATATATATATATATATATATATATATATATATATATATATATATATATGAGAAATATATATATATGGGAAATATATATATATGTATATATATATAGTGAATGTGGCTAATATCAGAAGTGCTTTAGAAGGTTGTTCAGGTTGTCTCAGTTGCAGTACATCGTTTACAAATGTTACAAATGCTTTTGCCACAAGCATCAGGATGTGTCCCTGACCGTACTGTTTTTAGTAAAATAGGGAAGTGCTGTCTAACAAAGGATTCTCCTGTAACCAAGGGGTTCTCTATTTATTTTTCGACAATAACTGGCTAGTTAAAATACCGGACGTAACGCGTAGCTATGTCAACCTGAATGTGGAAATGAAATCAAGATGATAAAAACGACTACAGAATCTTACTGTACGTTCGCATCAACCATAGCTAGCTATACTTGCATATTATTTCTAGCATTCAAAAGAGAAATCCTTATTTTGCCTTTCTGCATATTCCCTCTGTAATGAAGCAGATCTATTGGTTCTCTATGTGTTCATGAGTCACAGAATTGTTTTACAGCTTTATAATATTATATATATTTATAAAATTATAATATACCCTTGATACACCCACCCCAACTTTTATTCTGGACTTAACACTATTTCTCGCTTAAGATATCCTCCGAGCACCCGATTCCACATCACTTCGTCGGCATTTTTTTTTTATTATTCTCCACTGAATTTTCTGTACAGTTCTTCAATTTTTCGTTTGTTTTCTTCTTGATGTCGATTATTATTGTTTTTATTTTTATATTTTAGTATCTCGGTCATTTTTAAAGTTGGTAAATTGAAACGAGTCAAACTTCCTGACAAGATCCTCTTGCAACGTCTCATGCCGATGATTGCGATCACGGTTGCCAGCCTGGCTGCCTGTACCATCAAGAATCCTTCCCAGGCAATGTTGTTAATGTCTTCAAATTCGCTGAAATATATCAACTGTTCAACCAACATTTGGAACTATGTTTTCTATGCAAGTAAGATTTCTTTGCATAATTTTGCATGTCCTCTTTGCATATCGACAATTAGGAATAAACTAAAAATGAGAAACGTATGGAATAGGACTTTGGTAAATAATTCTATATGAACAGAAAGTGTTTCTCCCTTAATTTCTGGGACAAGGAGTGATCATTATCTGCATAATTTAAGCTTAAATCCCGATTTATATTGTCATTTTTTTTCTGCTATCTTTTTCGATATTTGTGTTTATTTATGTACAACTATTTCGTAATTTGTCTTGCTTTCTAGTGTTTTTGTTTACCTAACATTTTATATATTTAAAAATCGTTAATTTTTACGGAGTTTCTAAAAGACTTTATATATATATAATGCTTATATATGTACATATAGGTTTTCATAGTCGAGAGTGACAAGCTTCCACTGTTTATAAAATGCTTCCGTGGCATGTGTCTCAAGTAGACTGGAAACTGGACGAATGCGGACAACTGGCGCCTCATAAACAGCTGCATCGGGTAGTTGGAGGTGTACAGTCTATGAAAGTAGTCCATCTAGGGGAAAGAAAACCTTTATTTTAAACCTCCGATGCCTTGCGGTCACAGCTAAACACGGAAAAGACTGTGGAAGTAAATCTAGACAGAAATTTATGAAAAACATTTATGAAATGTTATCATTATTTACAGCTGGGCTACTATTGTCCTCATCTATTTTGTTATTATTGTAATTAAGTAGAAAACTAATTTTGAATTCAATCCCTGGATCGAGTAGTACAAGCGGGTAATGCAAACAGTACTGGGCCCGGTATTGGAAACAGGGTTTCGGTGTTTATGCTCTTGTACTTATTTAGCTTGTATTCTGATTTTGAGAAAGTCGTATTCACATTATAAACCATTTCCATTCTTACGCTTTGCAAAAGAAGTAAATAAATCTTGAAGTCATTTATTCTGAAGATGCTGATTTTTTTTTCTATTGAATTTGCTTCAGGGATTCGTGGTTAATCTATTTTAACTTTGGATTTCATTCGATATTATTGTATTGTAATTAGATAAAGTGAAATTTCGGAATAAGAATAATTACGTCGGACATCATCGGTCAGTATTTATATAAATTGGAATTTTAGGCTGAGAATGTTTAAAATACATGTCGGGTGTTGTCGAACAGCAATTAATTGTGTGATCTGTTTGAAGTTATTAAGAATATACAACGAATTCAAGATACACCTGAGGAACTTTTCAACGCTCATTGACCAAACTTCAGGGATTGAAATAAGTTGAATATATATATATATCTCTGTGTGCGTGCGTGTGTGTGTGTCTTTCGGCAGCTAGCGTCCGTTTCACGTTATTGAGTTCTTTAAAAAATAGCGGATAAGAGGATGAATTCTAGTCTACTCTCTTGAGGAAATTATTTATAGCACCTATTTTATATCTAAGTGGACGCTAGATAATAACGGTTTTTCGAAGCACTTCATAGATAACCAAATTAGACTATTTTTTTCTAAAGTAGCCAATAGCAACACTGAACATACAGGTAAAAGCAATAACATTAAGATTTTATATAAAAAAAATACACGCTAATTATAAGCAGGATGAATTTTCCCTTAGAAATATTATAAAGAAATACACAACCCCAGTCCGCCAGAACAAGAAAATGAAATTAATCACGTACTATAAAAATTTTAAAACAACTAACCTCATCGGCAACAACAAAAACTTAACTGTAAAATCCAAATTACAGAGGACCAATATTATTTATGAATTTACATGCCCATTAAGTAACTGTGTTCCTGATCAAAAAAAATTCATGAATAATTATATTGGACATACCAGTACATACCTATGAAGAAGACTGATCTCTCTCTCTCTCTCTCTCTCTCTCTCTCTCTCATTTAAGACCCATTTAAACACACGAAAACCTACCAAATTCCGTCCGCAACATACTCGTAGAAAATACGAATATAATAGCCTCATCCATATGTAAAGAAGGCAAAAATAATGGAATCATTAATATTAAAAAAACAACACTCAATAATATGTACTATGAACATGGTCACAATGTGCTGGGCGTATTTTGAAAATAAAAACAACATTGCCCTCACTATAGGTACACATAAATTACACAGATATAAAAACAAAAAAATATACTTATTCAATTTTTTAAAAATTCTTGATAATGGCTAATAGAATAGCCGAAAGCCCTCGGATATACAGAACGCAGCATTTACACAATTTACGTCCAGAAAAGAAAACACTTATACGGATACAAGAAAAATTGGATAAAATCTTAATCGCAGTATCTTTCAGTCACACAAAAATCAAAAACAATCACGAGTTTACTTAATGAACAAAAATCAAACGAATAATGTCAACCTAACAAGCAATAAGATGAAAGTTTTAGTAGAAAAAAAAAGGTTACTAAATATAAAATGGATTACTCTTTCAATGTACTGTCTATGAATTTTTCCAATCGACTGTTTCATAGAAAATACACAAAATTCCACCGAATTTCAAATTAATTTCTTCGTAGATTGTTTAGACATTTAGATATTTATCAAACCTTAACCTCCCAAATATGCACGTTAAAGTAACGCGAATTAACAGCATCTAAGAATTTGAATGAAACCTGTCATGTAATTGATTGGGGTTGTTGTAGCTTCTTCCTTTAATGTCGGTCTTATATCTAGAGACGAGACGCGTTAAATTTGAGCAACATCTTAGCCGACACACTGGGGTTAAAAATAGGAAATTGAAATGATACATATGACACACTCATATCCTCTCTCCCACCTCACTTCCTCACTTCGTTAATTTTACGTATACTTGATGAGGTCCATCAAAAACGTGTTAATTTCTTTTCATTTTTTCATTTCAGCTTTTGGAAGTAAAGTCTGATGATCCAGAACCCTGTTAAAGGGGTTATGGTGAAATAGCTTATTACATGGAATCTTAACATGGTCTGTTTTTTATTCAAATAAATATATATATATATATATATATATATATATATATATATATATATATATTATAAGCAGTAACAGTCATTGGTTACAAATTCCTTTTTCTCTAAAGTGTTCGAATTTTTATTTTTTGATATATATATATATATATATATATATATATATATATATATATATATATATATATATGAAGTTTTACTGCCTTCTTTGAACTTCCACTCTAACCCCATGTGTTTTCACAGAATTTGACTTGACAGATATTTTAACGTTTCTTTTATTTTTAACCTGAAGTCGCATGATTTCTGCTTATTTTTTCTCTTTCATAATTCCGATATTTTGTCTTCAGCTGAATGCCTCATATTGCTCTATGGCGTTTACCTCTGCTTCACAATCAGAAAAGTGCCCGCCTTTTTCAACGAAAGTCGATATATCACGTGGTCAACATACAACGCTCTCATCTTCGGTTCATTTCTTAACATCTTCACGTAAGTCAACCATGAAATTAATTATTCGTTCTAGTTTCATCTTTAGCGCGATGCTAGAGAAATCTTAGAAGTGTCTTGGAAGGTTACTCAGCTTGAGCAATCACTCACACTGCAGTACATCGTTTACAAGTGTTACACTTTTGCGACATGAATCGAGGCGTATCACTGACGGTACACCTTTTAGTGAAGTGGGGATGTTTTTTATACTAAAGTTGGCATAATGCAAGGCTAGAGAGTCATTCAGGGAAACTTAAGGATTACTAATGTAATGGTTATGACGAATGAAGTGTGTGATATGAGTGAAAGACGAGATGGTAGGAAGTGAAGACTATAAGGATAAGGAGTCTAGATAACAACTGGCCATTGGTTTGAAGCGATTAAGATTGTGGTGCTCGAGGAAGCATTCAAATGGAAGTCTGTTCCATAAAATTTTCTTCTTACATTTGGAATATGGAGGAAATGAAGGTGAAGCGATTGCGTCCTAGTTGTAAAGGTTTAAATTGGTGGAACTAAAGAATGGAGCTCATCAGAATATTTGCTGTGGAAATAGCGATAAGCTTACGATATTGTACCTGTGGGAAAGCATATATAGAGTAGAGGACGCGTATTCGATTTTAAACTCTGCTAAAGTGAGGATTGAGATATGGCAGCAATACACCATTTTTTGGTCTAATATGACTCTTGTAAGGATGAAGCGTGACATAAGGACTTGATAAAGGCTGGAAACTGAGGGCTGAGCAGCTCCGGCCAATATATAGCAGCAATACACCATTTTTGGTGTAATCTGACTCTAGTAAGGATGAAGCATGACATAAGGACTTGATAAATATATATGACTCCTGCAAAGATAAAGCATGGTAGGAGTCAGGTGCTCTATAAAAAAAAAAAGGATTTCCTGCAATCAAGCTCTCTACTTATTTGTTTTCCAACTATAAATGATGAGTTAAATATTTTAATATTTTAAATTTTATTTTATTTTCATGACTTAAAGTTTTTAAAACTTATTATGGTGTCACTAAAATTACGTTGTATTTTCAAGGTGTCAGTGGAACCCCATCTAATGACTATTCACAACAAAGAAAAATAGTTTTAGGGACATGGAACGTCAAAATACTAAATCAATGCGTCACACTAGAATACATAAGACATGAAATGAATAGGTTAAAGATTAATATTTTAGGTGTCTGCCAAACTAATGGATAAACGATGGAGATTTTGTCAGTGACAAACGCGGGGCCATATTTGTAGGTGGAGAGAAAAAATGAGAAGGGAGTAGGATTTATATTAGATCAAGACATGAAGAACTGTGCCCTGTGATTACTATCCCTCATCTGATAGAATTCTTGTATCTAAACTGAAGGGGAAACCTTTTAACATATCTATCGTTGCAGGTTAAAAGACAAGCTCACCAAGGACAAGATACTGATAACAGAGAAAGAAAATATACTTCTCTATTTACCAACCTTCCCACAAGGCAAGATGTGACACAGGGCCGGTTTTTAACGTGGGGCAATTTTTTAGCTGGAGATTGTAGGCTCGGGCAAAATTGCCTGTAGAATGATGCATGGGGGGGGTCGGGTTTGTCTATTCCTTCCAAACGAGATTCTGCCCTTCGGCATAGCTCGTCTCAGGTTCCATATTTGGAGGCAGAGAGTTCGAAAGAGAGAAAGAGATTTCCTTTTTTTATGGAATGAATACATCGGAGAACTCTTCCACGACAAAAGAGGAAAACCTGCAATACACTGAAATATCGAAGAACCAGAGATATTAAAATCTAAAGTGGTATCAGCACTGAACAAATTTATGAAGAAATTGTAATAGAAATACTGTCAGTTTTAAATGATTTCGTCATCTACAAAATGCAGATGTAATAATGTCGTATATTTAATATACAGGGTGAACCAGAAACAGGTGCACAGCAGGTTCGATAAGGTTTGTTTTAGGGTTATATTATAACAATGATGTTTGTATTTTATTAAATTTTATAACTAAATTTAAATTTTTTCTTCTTTTCATATAGTTCAGAGAATCCATAATAGCAAATAATTGAAATCAAAAAAAAAATGGTCTATAAAAGAATATTGGAAGTCTGAAAATGCTGAAACCGTTTTAATAAAATAGGTTGAAACATGAAAACATTCCAAGTAAAAAAAGAGACTAACCATTCACCGCGTTTGTGACAAATTTGATACCACTGGCTCAATTGTTAATGCCCCCAAAACAGGTCGACCCAAACCGTTTGTACAGAAGAAATTAATTATATATGTAATAATTGTATATCAAAATTTAATTGTTAATCTCAAAATATATGTTTTCATTTGCTGTCCACCTATTAAACAAAAAAACTTTGTATATTGAATTGGTGATAAAACCGAAGACCATAAGTAGAAATTTTTTTCAAAATATTGGTAAGAAACCAGAAAAAAAATGAAAACTCCATCAGATAATCAGCCTTGAGCTACAATAAAAGATTATAATCTAAAATTATTTGAATAAAGTAATCAAAATTAAACCCGAAATCGGACAACAGTGTGGGTTCGTCAATGACGTTTCTTCTTTGTTTTTGTTTTTTTTTCGTTTCTAACTTAAGAAAATTTATTTTTGTTTAAATTATACTGAACTCTTTTGTTTTAATTATATTTTATTTTTAATAAAGTGCGTAGCAGAATTAAACCCGAAATAGGACAATAGTGTGGGTTCGTCAATGACGTTTCTTCTTTTTTTTTTCGTTTCTAACTTAAGAAAATTTATTTTTGTTTAAATTAAACTGAACTTTTTTGTTTTAATTATATTTTCCTTTTTTCTCTGATTCCCAGACAATTTGTGAAAATTTCTGTCGGACCTGACATCAGCTATGTTTTGAAATTTTTATCGATCCAAATCTCCGGTACAGTAACAGTTGCACTGATATTCCTACCAAAGGTAAAGGCAAGGACTTTTTTTATATTCTGTTCGTTTCTGCTTACTGAATGTTTAACATTTTTTTTATTGAATCAACCAGAAATTAATATTTAACCTGTAAACGTTTCAGAGATATTCAATAGACAAAATAATTAAATTTTAACGCTTATTTGTTTCCTGAAATGTACAATGCATTAGGAAAAAACGATAAACTCAAGTGAAAAATATGAAGAATTTTATTGCACTGAATAAATTCAGTAACATTTGTGATTTTTTAGGTCATTTTATAAAAACTTCATAATCAAAAGAATTGAGTTAAAATTTAGTCTTTTTAAATTTCTTTTAATCAATCAAAGGGCATGTTGCAGCACTAAAATTTAATTTAGGAAAAATCACTGTTAAATTTTACAATTTTTAAAACTTTTTTTGACGAACAAAGTTCAAGTTCTGCATTAATCTGCTGCATTCACTTTTGCGCAGACATGAATCAATTTATTCTCTATGCAGCTATGGGTTAAATAGCAGTGTTGACTGGGCCTCTCTAGCCTTGAGTGTCAGCCATTCTAGGTGAAGGGCAACTTTGAATTCTAAACCCTGGAGAAAACCACAGTATCTTTCCCAATTCACAGGTAATGAAGAAAAGAAATTTTGGTGAATCATGATCACCGACCAACGTCCTAAATGAAGATGACGTGTTTTTAATCTCGCTAACATTTCACGTAGGTAATTGAATGACAAAATGAAACAATATATATATGTAACGTCTTTCATCTTTCAAAAGGACTTCATCAAAGTAAATAATGTTTTTATTGATGAAATTATACACACACACACACACACATATATATATATATATATAATTCATCAATAAGAACATTATTTTTTTCTATAATAATTTTAGGAACTGAGCTGCTTGACCCTCATACGTCGAATACGACGAGAGAGTCCCCCTCCCCAATATATCAACAAAGGAAGTGTAGTCAGTCAAAGGAGTAATTCAGTTCAGAATTATTTCTTTTTTGATCTCCCGTACAAAAAAAATGAAACAGTTGCAAAAAGAGAAAAAAAAATAATAATTTTAACATGTTCATACTTTAAATTTTAAAATATCATTAAATTTGAAATTTTCGATTGTTCAAACATGTCTTTATTTAATAAAATGAACTCTTGCAACGGGATGAATTTCAAAACCGCACTGAAAAATTACAAGTAAATTTCAGTGTATTTTTTTCTGTCTAGTCTGAAAGAAAATAATCTGTTTTATAAAATTATGCAAACACTTAAATTTTTTTTAATCTTTATTGATTTTTTTTTTAGTAAAGTCCGAGGTGAATTTTCCTGTGTTAACACTTGATATATTGCATAATTGTCTTTACTGAAATTTTTTTTTATTTTTATAACCGTAAAACAATTTTGCGACCCCCACCCCAAGAAAAAGGGCAGGAGCATGAAACCATACACACACCAAATATTAAATTCAAAACAGATCTCTTGTATTTCCTGACGTGATTGTTGACTGAAAAGTGAGTTGAGTACGTGGATAAAGCAAACGCCCATAACTGCTTCGCCAGTAGAAGCAACATTTGCCAATTTTGACACGATGCAATTATTTATGGATGTTTCTATAAAAATCAAATTTGCTATATACATTGTTTAAGCTTAAAATTGAATCTATTTTCTTTTCTTTCTTTTTTGGCGTGATTAGTTTTATGCGTTATATAAAATGAGAATTGGACAGGTGACCAACTTGGAATCAATACGAACTATCACTGGGAGAGTTCTGCGTCATAACATTCTTGAAATAGACTTACAAGATAAGTCTTCTCAAACCTATGATAATCAATCAGACGTAAGTTTTCTTTCTTTTTTTTTAAATTACAAAATAAATATGTCCGTACAATGTTTTGGTCAATTACTGCACTCCTTAAAAATGGATAAAAACAAAAAAAAATTCTTTTATTGTTGTCATTTATTAATCTCAACTTCGTTTGGCACAAGGTCATAAGTATGGAGCAACCAAAAAGATCGATTTCACTGCTCAGTACTATTGGTCAATCAGACGAGCTCATTAGCCATTACCCAATGCTGAATCCCTCAAACATTTACTTAGTATAGTTTACTTTTGAACAAGATCACAAGTGAAGAACACACCCACTACTTTCATAAATTTCAAACTAGCATTCCAGTTATGAGACTCAGATTCTAATCTCACTTCGGTTGACTTGTTAGAGACCAATTCTTTATAATATTGGCCTGAGGAGATGATCCCAATAAGCAGCAAAATTGGGAAATGCTTGAAAACTATACCACAAGTTGACACAAGTCTTGTGAGTGAAATTGGGTAGACAGAACTGTTCAAAAGTCCTTGATGGTTCTTCTAGCCTGAAGTCACAAGTCATCTTGAACGAGGACTTTGATCATGTTGAAAACTGTAAATAAGATCCACTCAGCATAGTTGCAGCATGAACCACAGATGGGATCTGTGGGTGTTAAAGAAACCCAAATATGCCAGAGCAGGCGCCTGCAACAGGGATTGCCTAAATACCCTATCAGACAAACATACTCATATACAAGTATCCAGTCATATTAGGATAACAATTTGTCTAAATAAGGTTGGACTTCCTTTATTTAATGGTGGGATTAGGGGATGTAATGTTTACCAGAATGGAAAATGTACTCAACAGTTTAGGATATTCATATGCTATTTTTTTAAAATACCTTTTGGAAAGGCATTAGTCCTACTTTCCCTGTACTCTATCATATATCAGTTTGTTTCTATTTATGATTTAAGGGGCTGATTAGTAAAACAATGAATTCACTTTTCCTTGTGGAATGCCACAATATTTGCAAGAGAAGAGAGTATACAGGTAAAAAGAGTGTACAGATAAAAACATTCTTCTGCTCTCTCTTTCTCTCTCTCTCTCTCTCTCTCTATATATATATATATATTATATTTTGCACCTAAAATCCCATCTCTCAGAATGTATCCATATCAAAATAGTTGCACCACTGTATTTGACAATCGAAGGCAAATAATCAAGGCAATATTTTGCATTTCACTTTCTAAAATACTTTTCAGAAAGATCAAAGATCCACCAAAACATGCTTTCATCGCTATAGACCATCTAGGAAAAGTAGTTTTTGTCCTTTTTTATACTAACGTTTTTCCCTTACAAAGCTCGAGAGCCCTCAAGGTAAAGGCTTACTTCTAAAATGTTTATGAGGAATGAGGTGTGTGAAGGAGAAGGTGATAAGAAGTGAAGATTATGAGGATAAGAAGGATAGACAACAATTGGCCTTTGGCTTGAAGCGGTCAAGATTGTGGTGTTCAGGGAAGCATCCACATTGGAGTAATTCTTGGGAAAAGTGTAACTTTCTCCTTACATTTGAAATACAGAGGAAATGAGAGTGATTCAACTCTGTGGAAGTGGTATGGTGTGTCCTAGCTGTAAAAGTCTGAACTAAAGAATGGAACATTTGCTATGGAAATAATGATAGAATTTTGATGTTGTATCTATGGAGAAGAGGTTGCAAATGGGAGAATAAGTTTTTCCCTACAAGACTGTGTCAATGATTTTGAACTCAATCAAGGATGGAAAGCAGCTCCAGCCCAGGTATAGCAACAATACTCCATTTTGGGTTTAATCTGTCTCTTGTAAAGATAGGGCATGGCAGAAGGAATCAGGTACTTCTTGGAACAATAGAATAGACTATTTTTAGTACCCTTTAGCAATGGATCATATCTATGAGTTACACATGAGCTCTGAATCCAAAAGATATTCAAAGCATAGCACTTCATTGAGAGTGTAACAGTCTGTCACGATTGGAGAAAACTCAAGATCTTTGTAACACTTGGCAAACACTTCACCTTCTGGGGACTGAAGACAGTTCTTTTGAGCCTACCTCCTGAATTTAAACTCTTCTTCATTCTTTTAGCCAATATCCACCTGGATACATGATTGCTTTCTGACAGTTTTAAATTCTAGGTGTTGTTGCGTGGTAATAGAAGACTATCAAACATTGGGAGAGAGGTTTCATGTTTTGTTTTTCTTACAGAAACAATGTCAGTGTACATTAACCTGGGAAGAAGAAACAAGCCCTAACCCTGGCATCAGCTCATCCTGCCAAATAATCTGGCCTGCAGAAGAGAAAGAAAAAACTACGTCAGTCACTTCTTTGAAAAAATTCCATGGCTGGAGACCACGAAAGAAAAACAAAGTATCATCAGTGTCATTAAAAGAAACAGTTATTGCAGAATCAAGCAACTCAAGTGAAATACTTTAATTATCACTTCAATAACATCTTCATGCAGAAAAAGAAGCTACTTTAAATTAAATCTGCTTAATAGTTTTTACATCAGGAGAAAAGCATTTATTACAGCAGTCATTATTTATCCAAGGAGGATATATTTGAATAAGCCCTGTAGATAGCTAAAACCAAAGAGCTTATTTTTCTTTTATTCTTTTATTTTACATTTTTTTAAAGGAACACCATAAATAATATGGATTGCTTCACTATCATGATAGTCCAGTATATATATATATATATATATATATATATATATATATCAAAATTTAAATTATTTAAGTCAATTATCAATAAGGACTAGAAGATTTCATTGTGCATGAAACTCAGAGCTGTGTTACCAATGAGGTAAAAAATCTATATCATTAATGTGTCTGTGTGTGTGTCTGTGTGTGTGTGTGTAACAAAGCTCATTAATAAAATAGAACAATGATATTTAACAGATGGATAAATGTTTCAAGGAATTATCTCCAAATTCACTATTTATTTTACCATAACAAGTAGAAAACCATTTATGTGTGAAGTTAAAGAGAAGTCCATTTAATTATATATATATATATATATATATATATATATATATATATATATATATAATAATAATAATAATAATAATCTTATAAATATAAGTAATTATACTGTCTGGAGGAAAACCTTAGGTGTTTTGCTTTGTAAATGAACAAACCAATACCCAAAAAAAAAAAAGGAAAAAAAAAGAAAGATGTAAGAACATGTAATTCAGGAAAAACAATCATCCAGAATCCAAGCTCAGAGTCCAAATAAAAAAACCTAAAATAAAAAATAATAACTAAGCAAAGTGCTCAATATTGACTAAGAGAGAAATTTAACTATGAACCTAAAGAGCCAGACAAACCAACCTGACGATCAGGTAGAGGATCGAAAGGGTGTCTCTTGATTGCGTCTTTAGGTTCAGGGAGGTTATATATATATATATATATATATATATATATATATATATATATATATATATATGAAAAACATTGAAATCAGGTACTCAGGGGAATGTAAATAGTGTTTCATGCTAGACGCGATTGTTCGCAAAGACATTTTCACTGACCTGATCAGAAAAAAATGCTTTGTATATAAAAACTAATTGTTCTAGTGAAACATATATCTCTTTGCTTAATATTTTTGTCACTTGCATATATAGTATATATATATATATATATATATATATATATATATATATATATTATTTCTCGGATCGCATCTTTGCTTTTATCGAGCACTGTTTTTATATATAAAATATATTTAAGTTTTTTGAATATATATATCTTATTAATATACTTTTCTGATTATTTTAATATATATATATATATATATATATATTATTGATAATATTTATTAATTAAATCTCAAGATCGATAAAAGAATGTTTTATAATGATCAATAATGTTCATGTACAGGCTTATGTACAAATGCATTTATCTTCCAATCAAGATAGAGAAGGTATATATATATTATTTATATATATATATATATATTTTTTTTACATATATATATATAGTATCAATGTGTGTGTGATTTATATCAAAATTTATATATATATATATATATACCTATATATATAAATTTTCATATATTTGTATATATATGAATTATTTTGTATATATTTATATATGAATATATGTGAAAGTTATATATATATTTGCAAAATATCAATAAATATGTGTTAAAATTATAAATATGTTTATATATATATGTTTTTTGTCATCATTATATATATATATAAACTGAATAAGTAATATAAAAGCCATTTTTATATCCATATATATCATAATTAAAAAAAAATGGCATATATATAGATTATTAAAGATATTTTTATTTAATTAATGGGAATTGGGTCCAGTGAATCACCAAACTTTATTTTTATTTATTTATTCCCCACATTTTATGATTTTTTTTTTGTTCTAAATTTATTTCTTCAATGTAGATGAAAGAAATTGAAGAAAAAATAAGTTTAAAAAAAGAAATAATCAAGATAGAATAAATATGCATAAAAAAAAAAAAAATTAGTTTGAAAAATTTCGGGAAATATGACACATTATAAATCAGGACTGAAAATTTTTCTAAGACAATTGTTGGACTTTATAAAAATGTTAAAAAATTAAAAAAAAAAAAATATACCAGAATGATCCAGCCCTTCAGAAAACACCTTTACCATCTCTATTTTCTTCAAAGAAAACAGTGACACATTTTCTCACATGGCTATGTTGATTACTTGTTGATTGTGTGAAACCATTTGAAATATAGTCACAATCCATGAATCAAGCTCACTGAAAATTTTCACAAAATATATAAATATGTCCCTTTAGATTGTAGGTAATTGCAAAATTCATATTTTTTTAATATCTTTGAATTAAAGACCTCATGGGAAACATATTGGAGAGGTTTCTCTCTAGGCATTGGCCATATGTTATGTCAAGTCCATATCAATCAACATATTCATATTTGAAGTGTTTACTGCAAGATGTTAAACCATCCAGCAGCAAGGTCTCTGAAGGAATTTTGAGGCTATATTCCAATGAATCAAAAAACCAGGAAAAAGGTCCATATGGATCCAGTAGCAATGAGAACGGGTCCCAGAAGCAAATAGTTAATTATTCCCCCATATCATTTAATTGTTTTGAAAAATGCATTGGCGCGAAATTCACTTGAAGGAAAATAATACCAGAAACTATTTGACAAAACAAAATATTACCAGCATACGGATTTTGAACCAGCATCAAATAAAAGATTGAGGTTGATATTTGCATAAAACAAGGTAAACCAAACCACCAATTATGATTTAGGGGAGGGGCTAAGAAAATGATAATTTATATTCCAAAGAATGCAAAAACTAAGTTGAACCCCATGTGTGCTATCCTTCCAAGACTCATCCTGATAAATTATTCCAACATCAACACACTGAAAAATAAAAACAAAGTATAATGTTTTGAGAACAATAGAGCAAGTAATACAGTTAAATTTACAAAGCACATATTGTACTGATCAAGATTATTCACTTTGATTGATACCTATCATATACCGAGAAGGTCTGTATATAAAGACCATCATTTTTCATGTCAGTCATAAAAAATAGAAAAAATTATTTTACAAGACTTTCGAACCAACCTGAATTTTGTTTGATTTGAATATTCAGAAAATGGGGAAAAAACTAAGACCAAAAAAAAGATTCCTTTTAATTTTATTGTTACACTCAACGACTTTTATTACACAAAAAAAAGAAATTTGAGAATTAAGAATTTAGTTTCAAAACTGTTAAAAAAATACTTCTGGTGTTGAAAATTTTTTTTGAATATTTTTTTAGAAATTGTGAACTCTCACATTTTTTTATTTTATTTTGTTTGAACGATCATTTGTCTGGTACTAGATTAGAGCCATCTCATCATTTTACAAAAATGAAATGGTGAGAACCATAAAAGTTCAATGGTAACACAACAGTTTTTTTTTATCGAATTCTTGCTTGTTTCTTTTGATTCCCAGTCAACTTTGATCACAAAATTTCTGCAATATCAATCGTTAGCTTTGTTTTAATTCCTGTTTTTTATTCTTCTCTCTCCTTAGTGTTTACTGTTTTTGTCATATTCTAACAATAACATTTAGTGACCCCCCGCGCATCTTAGTATTTTTATTGCTCTGCTTAGTAAATGACAAATTTTTATTTTATTTTCTACCATTTCAATTGATATCGATCGAAAGAAAAGTAGAATAATTTTTTTTTTCAATAAGAAGTGTTTTAGATTATTTGTGTGCGACCATATGCAAAAATCAAAGTTTTTTGTTTTGTTTTTTTACTTTGGGGTTTTGTCTTGTTTTCTCTTGAAATCGTTTATAAAATGAGAGAAAATACCAGGACTCAAAAAGGGGAGGGCATTAATTTATAAAAATATTTTCCCATACTGTTTCATGATCAGATTTCATTCAGTTTTATTTAAATTGGTTTTCTTTTCAGTTTTGGGATCAAGGTAAAAAATACTAGAGAGGAAAATACCTTTAAAACTTAAATAAAATTAAAGTGTTATATGCGTTTTAAACTAGAATTATCAATTAAATTAAAAACTTAAATTTTCACTTAAATAATTTTAATTTATTATGAAATTTGTTTCAGGACTGAGAGCATGCGACATAATAATTATTTTAAAACTCAAACAGACACACACACATAATTAATTCCAATTCCACCCAAATGTTAATTATCTTTTAGGTCCATAAATTTTAGCATTTTTAAAATTATTCTTGAAGTTTAGAATGAATAATTTTTTTTGTTTTAACAGAAAAAAACTTTCATTGCATTCGTAATTAAGTTAGACAATTTGAAATTCTTGCTTGATATATATTTTTAATTATTTGATTCTTTTTTCAAAGGTAAGATTTGTAAATTCTTGTCCAAAAAAGGTTTATTAATAAATAATGTCATATAATTACAAAAATATCAGATTTTAGTTTAGTTTTCATTTTCCAGTGGAAATGAAAGAAAAAATGGATTTTTTTTTATAAAATCAATGCAAAAAAAAAAAAAAAAAACTCGACACTGTATTAAAATTAATATTTGCAAAAAATCAGGGAATTATACGCCTTAAACGAAATTATCAGGCAGGACTTCTTCATCAATGAATTAATATTTTTTTTTTTTTTTTTTTTACTGAATAGGTTATTTTTATTTAAAATCATTGTGTAAATATTTTGGGGGCTATGTTTTTCACACACCCTTCCCTTTATTTATTTTTATTTTTTCGATATTATAGGTAATGTGTAACCTGGATATAAGAGAAACGAGCATTTAAGAGATTTCTCTGGTCCCAAATTAGAGCCTCAACATGTTAAATGTATATAAAATAATTGTAACCGGATATAAAGAGTTGTCGGGACAGGAGAATTATATATCTCTTATATCCGGGTTTAATCTATTTATTTAACCTGAAATAGAAAAATTTTAATTTGGGA